GCAGTCTGGGCGACCGAGTGAGACTCCAACTCAAAAAAAAAAAAAAGAATATATCCCTGCTGTTAAGTGACACATGACTGTATTAAATTTTTGCAATGATAAAAAAAAATTCAAAATTAACATCTATATGCTATTTCAAAACTCAGAGTTACAAAAATCATTATATTTATAACAGGAATATACTTCAGAAAAAGTATTTAGCATAAAACGTAAATGTCTTAGTAATATCGTTTATTCATTGTATATATGGAAGGGTAAAACTGCTCATGTTTGAATTAGTAAGCTTGCAGCAAACTTCTAAAGAAATAAGCAAAACTTTTTCACAGCCATATACAAAGTAGTTGATAGAAATGAAATCATCTTAAAAGATAGCTAACAATTTTATATTATAATCAATGACAGAAAAGACTATGCAGACATCAGAAATAATGCTTATTAAAAAAAAGAAATAATGTTTATAAGCATAGGCAATATAGTGAGATCCTATCTCTACAAAAAATAAAAAAAATTAGCCAGGTGTGGTAGTGCACATCTATAGTCCCAGCTACTTGAGAGGCTGAGATGGGAGGATCACTTGAGCCCATAAGTTTGAGGCTGCAGTGAGCTACGATCATGCCACTGTACTCCAGCCTGGCCAACAGAGTAAAACCCGGTCTCAAAAAAAAAAAAAAAAAAAAAAGGCTTATGAAGAATTTCTGCTGACATGTGATAGCATTTTAATGATAAAAACAGAATTAAAAAAACTATAAAAATAATATAATCTCAAGTAACTAAAAATTTATATAGCTACAAAGGGAAAAAATTTAGGACATTTTCCAAATAGTAAAGATCTATCTGTAGATGGTAGAATCACAAAGAATTTTAAGTTTCTCCTTTTACTTTATTATAGTTCCCAATTCTCTTTAACAAATATAAATTTCTTTTATAGTTATAAAAACAACATCAAAAAAAAAAAGTTTAATCATACCTGACAGTGATGGTATGTCTATAACTCGGAAGAAGTTTTTCCATATTCAAAAATCTGGTGATTTCTTCAAGAATGAGTCGCACATCAGGGTTTAAGTTGTCTAGAGTTCTCACTTCATTATTCACACTGACTGCAGGTGTAACAGAGTTGGCCAGTGCATCAATCATTTCTGCACGATAATAGTTATCTGAAAACTAAGCCAAATAACAATTCAAAGAAGATAAAACTCACTCTTCTGATCAAAGTTAATAAAACAAAATATGCATAACTTAAAAATATAACTCATCTGAAAACACAAGCAAGTTCTTTAGTGAACAGTCAACTCTGTCCTTTGCATAGAGTCACTCTAGAAAGCAGAGCAAAAGAGGTTCCCTAGTCATTGACATGTTGGTTTACTGAATAAATACTTACTATGTGCCAAGTATCTTCTGGTAACCTAGCCAAATTTCTCTCAGAGGAGACTACTGTCCATAGATCCTGCTGTAACACACAGCTTCAAATCAGTTAATTAATGCTCTACTTTTATATGAAAGCACACAACCACGGATCACCAGATAGCTCAAGAAAGCATCAACATAGAAACTATCATTAATATTGTCTGAGAAGTAACCAATTAAGACATGTCTTTCAGTGGCATAATATTATTTTAAAAAGAAAAAAAAAATGCAGAAAATAAGGATCAAAATTAAATTGGAACATAAAATTTAAAAAGTTCCCAAAATTTAAGCAAAAAGAGAACAGAGGAGGGAGCATATAAGGAAACTGGAGGGCTGTACAGGAGGCATCAGATATAATAGAAGCCAGTGAAGCAGAGAAGAAAGCCCTTTAAAAAAAAATCCTATATCCACATCCCAGTAGGTTCTCAGGAAGCACTTGTTTAAAAGTAATCTGGTAGAAGGCTGAGGCGAAGGATTGCCAGAGCTCAGCAGGTCGACGCTGGGGTGGCTGTGAGTTTGTCACTGCTCTCCAGCCTGGGTGACAGAGTAACCCAACCCCAAAACAACTCCGACTCCAAAACAAACAAAACAAAACAAACAAAAACAAAAATAAAAACCTGGGTGTGGCTTGATTTAAACTCAGCAAATTACATGCTCTGGCCTGGGACTGTGAACTAGAGCAAGTTAATTAATTATATCGGCAGTGTTGGACATATTTTGTACTAGAGGTTGGAAGGAGAACACCTGCCCTTTCTGACTGCCTGCTGATCCATACACTGACTCACGAAATGCAGAGTACCTACAAATGTTTATGCTCAAATGCTGAGCAGTAAAAGAATAGGGCACACAAAAACAAACAAAACCAAAGGAAAAATACCCCGAAGTGTTTACTACAGATGAAGTTTTGCTTTCAATCCACTCTAACAATTGGAAATTCAGTCTCTATAACTTTAGTTCACTGGAGCCAAAGGGAATGATCTTAATTTTTTATTTTTACCACACTAATTTTATTTCAATGCAGTTGCATTTACCAACATTTTCTTTCATGGTTTCTGAGTTTTGTTTCAAACCACTCAAAGATTTTCCAAATTTCACGTGCAGGTTTTCTTCTAGTGCTTTTATAGTCTCATTGTTATTTCTAAGAACTCCTTTACCAACAAAACAAGAGTTCCTTTTTCAGATCTAAGCACTCAGCTCAGAGAATGAGTTTGGAAATTAACAATAAGAAGTGGGCATGAGTAGAACAGGGTCTCCCAGAAATTATAACCATGACTGAACAAGCTAGGTTATCTGCTCACCTTCCAGATTACAATGGACCAAATAACACAACAATTTAATTTGTGGAAAACAGTCAAAGAGCAGAGCAAAAATTCTCCCCCAAACAGAATCAGTGTACTGCAGCAAAGAAAGTAAAGAAATTTCATATACATATATAATTTGTTAGAAATATGTGTGTATGTATATTTTAATATAAATGGCTCATAGGCCTGGTGTGGTGGCTCACACCTATATTCCAGCACTTTGAGAGGCAGGAGGATCACTTAAGCCTAGGAGTTCAAGACCAGCCTGTGAACCACAGCAAGACCCTGCTTCAACAAAAACTCAAAAAATTAACCAGGTGTGGTGATTGCATGCCTATAGGATTGAAGAGGGAGGACTGCTTGAGCCAGGAGGTCGAGGCTATGATGAACTGTGATCATGACACTGCATTCCAGTTTGGGCAACAGAGTGAGACCCAAAGAAACAAAGGCAGAGTGGGGGGGCTCATAATAAGCTTAAGGGGATTAGCTTTTAGTTCTCTTGAAAACTAATTCATCCACAATGTTGAATTTCACACTCCTGCCTAATTAATAAGATGTCAAACATTTTTTCCCCCAAGTCCTAACTTTTTTGAGGATTTAGCTTCTTATATTTCTAATTTAATATTTTTAACTATCATAACATTTTATTAACATTTCCATTAATCTGATATCCTAGCAGTTCTATGTGTCTTTGTACACGCTACTCCTTCTGTCTGAAATGAACTTCCAAGACTGGTTATATTTAAACTCTCGGAAAATGCTATGCATCCTTAGGACTCAGTTTGAGGGTCACTATTTGTATATAAAACTTCTGAGCCTTTCCCCCTACATTCTTGAGTAGGCATGGCAGACAGTTCTCTATATTCACAGGTTCCACATCCATGAAGTCAACCAAACACAGATGGAAAATATTCAGAAAACAAAACAGATGGTTGTGTTTATACTGAACATATCAGACTTTTTTTAGTCCTTATTCTCTAAACAATACAGTATAACAATGATTTACATAGCACTTACATTGTATCAAGTATTATAAGTAATCCAGCGATGACTTAAGGTATACAGGAGGATGTATGTTACATATAAATATTTCATCATTATAAAAGGGACTTGAACATCTGCAAATATTGGTATCTGAGAGGAGTCCTGAAGCCCATCTTCCACGGAGACCGAGAGGACTATACTTCCTCTGCTATTCCCTGGTGATTGTGTATGCTGTGTGTACTTCCACTGCAGCACTGATCATGTGTGACTGTTAACTGTCTACCTGTCTGATTCACCTATTAGGTTGCAGCCTTGAGGGCCCAGAATCAGACTGAAATTAACAGTAGTTGTTCAATAAATGTTTAATGAATAAATGAGTGCCTAAAGACCTCAACCATCTTTTCTATTTAACATGGTATACTGCCTGGCACAGTACACACTCAAAAAAACACCTGCTGATTGTTAGGCTAGTAACAAGAAGGATGAACACTTTTGAAGCAGGGTATCTAATAGCTATAAAAACACACACAGTAAAAAAAGGTCAAATTCATCAATGAGCAAGTTAATCCCAATTAGGAGCTGTTTTCTGCCCCAAGACAAGTTTTAGCAGGTCTTACTCCTATCTCCACCCTACAAGAATCTTGGAAACACTTAAAAACTAACAAATCTTGGTTTTTACCCACTGGTTATTCTAATAAATCATGTTTGTACACTTTCATTCTATGAATTTGACGAACCTGAACTCAACAATGATGTCTATACTAAGTATTTCATTAGAAACAAAATATCAATAGGTAATTTTACAATGTTCATGAAGAAAAGCACCTTACCTTATTTTTCCTGTTGTCATTGTACTTGATTAAGTCTAAAATAAACATTAAGACTTCTTTGGGACAAAGGTTATGGACATCTCTTAATAAAGCCATTGCAACTGGCATAGTCTACAAAAAAAAATTTTTTTTAAGTTCATAACCTGCCTTTTTCATTACTACAATTTACTAAACTATGTATAGAACAAGGGTTACTCTGGGCTAACACAGACACGCACAGAGCCCAATGGCCATCCTCCACCCTATCCCACTAAGCACAAATCTTGAGCAGTCAACATTTCAATGTAAGAGAAGAGCTGGGTAGGAGACCATGGGAAGAACGGCATGACTGGACATGTGATAGTCCACATGTCTGTTTTCATTTGTTGCAGGAAGTACATGTAACATAAATTATACAAATTCACCCCTATATGATGCAGTGGAAAAGGTATAGGCTTCAGCTTTAGGCAAGCCATCAGTTCAACTCTTCACTCTACTACCTACTGAGCTAGACTCTTTAGCTAGTTGCCTACTGAGTGGGGGAGCCCTGTATCCTCACAACCGTTTTAGGATCAAATGATACAGTGGCTGGAGTCATGTGGTATGGAACAGAGCTCAATCCTCAATCTCACAACACACAAATTGCTCCAACATCCGGACCTCAGAAACACCCAATCTTCAATCTCAGGAAAAAGGGTAAATTATCTGAAAACCAGCTTCACTTTCCCCTTTCTAAATTTTCATAGGCTATTTTTCTAAGGAAGCAGAAACATGACTTGCAGTGGTAATTCTACCAATAAAACAAAGCCAAGTTGACTCTAGGCAGAACTACAGATGAACAGGTATCTATAAAGATACCCTCTCACAGGAGATCAGAAAAGAGGCTGGCTTGTTCTCCTGCTTGAAGGAGCAGAGGTGACAGAAGCAACATAGTGTTAATGCTGTGAGAACAACCAAGGGAAATGCTCCTCCACAGAATTGTCTGCCTTACGCCTGATTTAGGCACCAATCCTCCTTCCCTCTCTCTCTCTTAAGAGTAAAAAACACATTTTTGTAACACAATCATACACACGTACTCCAGATGTAATATATATAAGTTAAAATAAAAACTCAAAAGCCGTATATTAATACTTACCCACATCACACATGAAGCACTGTGATATTGCCAATTCTGTTTCCTTATACTTAAAGAAACAAACAAAATCTTCTACACTGATTTCATGACTCCTCATAGAGGGTTCAAAACTGCAGTCTGAAACAGTGATGTATCACTTCTCAGACTTGGCTAAGATCAAGTGAAACACTGATTGATGGTACACAGAAGCACAGGGCACAGCGAAACAGACACATCAGGTAGAAGAAGATTAACCTACTCCCATACCATAAAGAGTGAGCTGCAATATAGAGCAGGGCATACATGCAAACACTCATACTCAGAGCTAAAACGGCAGGATACCACAGACTTATTGGATCACACCCCACTGCCTTTCCCAAAACTTGGTCATCCCAAATCTTCTGATAAAGCTGACTGTAAAGATATCATGACTTCCACTCACAGGTACCAGGTGCTGCGGAAAGTCCTTTCTCTTGTCTCTGTCATATGCAAGCCTCGACCTGCCTGGCATCCCTTCAGCTTCTTTCTCTTCATTGGTTTCCATTTCCTTTCCACCTGCCTCAGAAAAGGAATGTCCTCATCTTTTCTCAAGTTTACCTCTGTACTGCTCCCACCCTTCACTGGCCCTTCAGAATCTCTCCACCATCTCTCTTTACTTTTTCCCACTTGACTGTCTCTCCTCCGCCGATTGTTTTTTCTGTGCCAAACATGCCTCAAATTTCTTCTTCCTCTAAACAAAACAAAACAAATCCAAAATGTCCTTTTCTCAACCTTGCTTTATCCTTAACACAGTCTACTTCCTTCTATTCTTCAACTAGAATCACGAAAGAATAGCATCATCAGGTAGATTCTCTACTTTAACATCACTCCTCCTTTCTAGTTCAATCTAGTTAATCTGATCTCTACCTTCATTACTGTTACATTATTCAACAAAATACACCAGTTATTTTCAACCACCTAGCAGCTGGCTATCCCCATATCCTCTCCTAAATAGGAGCTCTCACCTCACCAGACACCACCTTCTAAACTACCATTTACAAGACATTTACCACGTGATTAGTGTAAGACTCTTTACATACTTATCTGACTTAATTCTAGAAGACATTTTACAGCTGAGTAAACAAAGGCATAAGAGACTAAGAAACTTGTCCGTGTTCAACCCCTGAGTAAGAGGGCTGAGTTGAAACTAGAGCTCTAGGCCGTACAGCCAATGACTCAGATATGCCATCTACACTCCAAAAGGACTGTCACCAGAATGCTCACTCGCCCCTCCATCCCCACGTAACCAGCCAAAAGACAAAAGGACGATTTCTACTCACTTCAGTATTAACAGATACAGTGAACTACTCATAAATGGATCATAAAAGCAATGAAGAATCAATCCATTTTGGAAGAAACTTTAGAAGCAAGAAAAGAACAAAGGCAAAGAAAGCAAACACATCTATTATTGGAACAGTCTCCAAGGTAAACTGAGACTTAAAAACAACAAAGAGAAAATCAGAAAGTAAACTGTACCTTCTGCAGAAAGTAACTTTGAAAACTCATAAAGTTGTTTGTTTTCACAATGTTTGGACAAGTTTTACAACAAAACATTCTAGTAAAAAGTGACTTCATGGCTGGTGGTCCTGTCCATGTGCTCACCATCGAATTTGCAATCTGCAAATAATTAGAAAATGAAGATTTCCATCACCACTGCAAACATGTTTTTAGAATAAATAAAAGTTTTCTAAAAATTAGTAATACTACAAATGAATTAGTTTTCAACAATTGCAGTTCTCAGAAATTTTAATACAATTTAGCTTGTTATCACCATTTCCAAGAAAATACGAACTTGTCCTTCCAAAAAATTATTCTGCCTTATAATTATTTTCTACTAACTAGTTTCTAAATTGCAATATTCTTTGTGTTTTAAGAACATATTTGCAAAATACTTTTATTTTAATCAAGTTTGTTTTTTTTTTCCTTTAGGCACAAATTATAGTATCTTAAGTTTATTAGATAGAAACATGATTGTGGATTTATACAAAGTTCTTCAACTACTCTAATTAAAAGGCAAGACCAATGCAATGCTACCATTTAAGTTTGTAACCATGCTTTACAAAAAATAAAAAATAAAAATTTTACCTTGCTAGTGGTATATTTAGGGTATATTTTTAAAAAATGCATGAGAAGAATTAAATTATGATTAACTTTAAATAATACAGTCTACAGTTTTATGAATCTGCTAAGATTTTAGCATACAAGATTCATAAAGATCTTCATACAAGCAATAAAATCATGTTCTTAGCAAACAATTATCAAAAATAATCCCTGTTTGCCCTCATACAGCTGAGAACACAGGAATTCAACTACTTGTTATCATTAAAAATAAAACAAATGTAAACCACTATATTTTGTTGAAATGTAGGACAAATGGACTTAATAGTAAGGAAGGAACAAGTCAATAAATGGAAATGAACCTACTATCAAGATGTTGTTTAAAATCTGAAAAACACTTCTGGCCAAAATTTTATCTGTATTTTTCTGTTTTCATTTGTTCTACCTTCAGATTTTTTGCATCTAAAGAACAATGTATGATTTTCTTTCTTTCTTTTTGTGAGATAGAGTCTCATTCTGTTGCCCAGGCTGGGGTGCAGTGGCACGCTCACAGCCATTGCAGCCTCGACCTGTTGGGTTCAAATGATCCTTCTACCTCAGCCTTCCAAGTAGCCGGAACTATAGGTGCACACCACCCAAACCAGCTAACTTTTTGACTTATTGTAGAGATGAAGTCTTGTCAGGTTGCCTAAGCTGGTCTCCAACCCCAGGCTCAGGAAATCCTTTTACTTCCACCTTTCAGAGTACTAGAATTATATGTGTGACCCACAGTGCCTGGCCTTATGGTTTTCTTAGTAAGTTAGCTTTTCTAGAATGCTTAAATTACAGGGCTATCATTTTAAACTACTTATCATTACTACTGATTCCTAAGGCCAAATCACCATGAAATAATTACCACAGTGGGTAGTTAAGGTTAATTGATTTCCTGTGCTATAATGTAAAGCATCACTCAATAAAATGATAAAAATTCTCTTTGGTTTTAAAATCTGACTTTTTGTGCATACCTATTTTCATGTCCAAGCATGTTTCTTTCAGGTGGGACATGGTGGCTCACTCAGTAATCCTAGCAGTTTGGGAGGCTGAGGTGGGAGGATTGCTTGAGCCCAGGAGTTGGAGACTAGCCTGTGCAACATAGCAAGATCTCATCCCCACAAAAAAAATTTAAAAATTAGCTGGATGTAGTGGTGTGTACCTGTAGTCTCAGCTAAGTGGGAGGCTGAGGCAGAAGGATTGTCTAAGCCCAGGAGGTTGAGGCTATGGTAAACTGTGATCATGCCACTGCACTCCAACCTGGGTGACAGATGAGACCCAATTAAAAAAAAATTTGTTTTTTTCTTTCAAAACAGTCCTATTAAAAGAATTTAGGAGCAAGTTGCAGTGGCTCATGACTGTAATCCCAACACTTTGGGAGGCGGAGGTGTGAGGACTGTCTGAGCCCAGAGGTTTGACACTAGCCTGGGCAACTTGGCAAGACATTGTCTCTACAATAAATAAATAAATAAATTAGCTGGGCATGTGGTTATAGTTACTTGGAAGGGTGAGGTGGAAGGATAGCCTGAGTCCAGCAGATTGAGGCTGTGGTGGCCATGAGTGTGCCGCTGCACTCTAGCCTGGGCAACAGAGTGAGATAAGACTCTGACTCAAAAAATTAGAAATTTGACAAAAGCTTTCAAGAATCAGCTCCCAAGTAAACTTAAAGACTGAATTTTAATTCATTTTCGGGGATTAAAAAAATACATATATTCAGTAGTCAACTTGTCTCCTTTCTGCTATACAAAACCTCACCTTTGCAAGGCAGAAGCAAGCTGACATTCTCACTCGGTAGAAACACTGCTCTTGTTCTAAGATATCAGTGAGTGCGAGTCGGGATGCTGGAGTAGGGAATTTTTCCAAGGCCGAAATGGATTCCTGCTGTGCAACCACATCCCTCTCATAGCGGAGCTGATACTGCCACATAAAGTCAGCTTGCTCAAATTCCACCTTCCTCAATACAGACATATCTGGGTCTATCCTTATCCACAGCAAAGGGGAATCAGCACTGAAAGAAAATATGATTTTCTTTTTTAAATACTTTCAACCTTCATATTTAGAAAATTTTAAAACAGCATTTATTAGTCAGATTCTCTTCTAGACATACCATTCAAAACTGCCTGGAGTTTTACTGTACAGTAAATGCCCTACATACTAACCTTCAAGTTACGAACTTTAAAAAATGCATACCTGCATTTTTTAAAGTATTGTTTCTCTCCAGCAAGTGTCTGCATAGCCTGTTAAATAAAGACAATACTATATAGACTGTGTTAGTTGGGTACCTAGGCTAACTTTGTTGGACTTAAATTGGACTTAGAAATGTGCTCTCAGAATGGAACTCATTCATATGGTGGGGACTTCCTGTATCCATTTTTTGAAATTGCACTGACAAATTCCTCATTACATAAAATATATTTCAAATTTCTCACAATGTCTATTCTATATCAATCTTGCTAAAAATATCTTCACAGATAAGAAAACAGTTGTCACAAAGCATAATGAATCCGTTATTTTGAAATTTTGATTTGTGACTATGTGACATGAAAAAGAGAATTAGACTGATGTCCTCATTTACCTTCCTACAGCCTCATTATGATCTATGGCCATAAACATCACCCTTTATTACAAAGTAGTCTGTGACTTAGAAAAGAAAGCATTTGCTTCTTTTTTTTTTGCTGCTAAATTAATTTGTGCAGCTGACTTTTAATACTTTTTTAAAATGCTAGATTCATGATCATCTTTTTCAAACAGTAAGTTCTGAAATTAGAATTTGGAGCCATATCAAAAACTTATCTTCACGTATGTCCCAAAGTAGCAAGAACAGTGGTCTACGTCAACACTTTCATCAAAGAATACCACCTGCAATGTCAATTCAATTCAACAGATACTACTGGGAAAACAGGCCAAGTACTAACTATGGAAAAATTAATACCGATGTTAAAGGGCAAGTGAACATAATCTGCAATAATCAGCAGTGAAAATTTGGCAACCAAGTTGGTAACAATTACTGATGTTTTATAAAAACACAAAACCTATGGGCAAAATAAGAAAGTCTCAGCATACATACTTTTAGATATTTATACATAAACAAGACATAAACAAGACAAGGAGAAGGCAGATATTAATCCTTAAAGTTAAGTTAACTAACTTACTCCATGGCAGAAAGATCCATGTCAACTTCTTCTCCATTCATCAGAGGAATTTTTTTCTTTTTATTCCTACATTTAAGGAAAAGAAAATTTGAAGATTTTGAGATTTCCAACTCTGAAGGAAGATTATGCCAGTCACAGTGGCTCATGCCTGTAGTCCCAGCACTTTGGAAGGTTGAGCTGGGAGAACTATTTGAGTCTGGGAGTTCAAAACCGGCCTGGGCAACATAGCAAGACCTCATCTCAAAAAATTAACTAGGCCTTCTGCCATGCCTGTAGTCCCAGCTACTCAGGAGGCTGAAGCAGCAGAAGGATCATCTGGGCTCAGGAAGTTCAGGATGCAGTGAGCTGTGATGGTACCACTATACTCCATCCTGGGCAACAGGGTGAGACCCTGACTCAAAAAAAAAAAAAAAAAAAATTAACGGAGATTAAGAGCAGTTAAAGTTTATATAATGGATTCCACAAAACATAGAAAAATATCCCAAGGAAAACCAAATATCAAGTGTAAGAAAATAAAACAACAAAATCTGTCTAATGTGAAGCTGAAGGGAATGAGGGGAATATCAAAATATTTTCCAGATCAAACTTTAACAAAAGGTAAACATATATAATTAATGTCAACTTAAAACACATATTCCCGAAAACTGGCAGCTACGATTTTTATATTAGAAAAGAGGATCGCTGGGCTCGGTGGCTCAGCCTGTAATCCCGCACCTTTGGGAGGTTGAGGTGAGTGGATTGCCTGAGCCCACGGGTTTGAGACCCGCCTGGGCAGCGAGACCTCATCTCTACAATAAATCAAAAAATCGGCCAGGTGTGGTAGCGCGTGCCTGTAATTCCAGCTACCCGGAAGGCTGAGGCAGAAGGATCGCCGGAGCCCAGCAGGTGAGGCTGCAGTGGCCGGGAAGAGCCACTGCACTCCAGTCTGGGCGACCGAGTAAGACTCCAACTCAAAAAAAAAAGAAAAGAGGATCTATCTATTAATAAAGAAAACCTTTATAATAAATGGAAAAATATCCAGGCTTGAGATGAGACATAATTCTGAGCTGTGTGCTGTACCTGAGGGCTCTGTCCTATGTGAAGTGATTAACAAAACACCTTTAGAGGATTAATTAAAATGTAGAACTAATTAATATACACAAGACATAAGAAAAGCAACAGCAAAAGCAGCTGTTCCATGTGAATGACTCCCCTATCATAACATCCAGTGGACACCATGCTGAAAACTCAGGGAGGGGCAAATAAGATAAGGAATGGAGAACAGACTCTTCCTGTGCAACTCATACCGAAGAATGCACAATGGACAGTTATGAAAGAGAAAAATAATTACTGAGGCAGTAATCAGTTGTTCCCAATTCCAAAGTAGACAGGACAACAAGAAGTGGGGATTTCACTCTTAACTATGGAATAATTTACTTAGAGTAAGAAAGTCTACAGGAAGATTTCAGAAGACCTTAAAAACCAACAGACATTCTCATTTGTCTGGGATGACCTAAACACAGTCATGAGAATACAACTTCTGTTGCTGAATATTTGTTAGTTCTCCAGCAAAGCAAAGAAATGCTCTCATTTTTCACTATTCAAGGCATAAAGTGACTGCCAAGTTAAATAAAGGGTAAAGGAAAAATATATTAAATTAAAGGTGAATTGCTGGATATTTTTAAAATACGGTGGCTATTTTCCTTTGAAAGACATCAAGAATATTCTGTAAGGGCTAGTGATACAGAGAAAAAGGAAAAGAGACACAGTAAATAAGATGCAGGGGTGTCTCATGACATATTTGGCTCTTTCCTTCAATCACCATTTTTGTAATAATTCCTATAGCTATTAGTTCAACAAGACTAATAAGAATGAAACTGACTCCATAACCTCAACCTTTCATTCTATCCCCTCACTCCCTCCCTACCCATAAAAGGAGGATCCTCAAACCCAGATTTCATTTTATTCTATTTATTTTTTAATTTCTATTTCTGTAGATACAAGGACTCATCATGTTGCCCAGGCTGGTCTCAAACTCCTGGCCTCAAGCGATCCTCTCTCTTTGGCTTCCCAAGGTGCTGGGATTACAGATGTGAGCCATCATACCCAGCCCCAAACCTACATGTTAAAATTAATTATTTAACTCTAAAGATTAAAATATTATAGAACAAAAAACAAAGAATGTTTGGTAATACTAACTTGAAGTGAGGTGAGGGAAAAAACATACTAGATAACATGTTCTCTAATGATAAATTAGGTATACAACAGAATTTTTATTTTGGCATTTTAATTTGTATGATTTGTGGTTTAACTTTCAGTTTATAGCTACAACTTGTTGCCTACCTTCTGCTTTTGGAATGGCAGGGTATATCATGTTTAAGGCTGTTTTCTTCAATTTGCAAGGTATGATTGAATGATCCATCTAATTCCTGCACTGTCACTTTAAGTGGTCCCTTAAAAAAAAAAAACAAATATACTGTTCAAAGATGTGATAGAAAAACAATGATATGTATTCTTATGTGTACAGATAGAAATATATATCAAGATATAAAGTTATACAAACTGTGTATGTTGAGAAATAGGCAACTTGTGCCAAAGAGGCATTGGGACAAACTGAGTCCGTGAAACATCCATCTGCAGCCCTCTTCCTTTCACTGGGAGAAATTAAGTCCCTGAAATCTCCAACTGCACCTCCTTCCCTTCAATGGGGGAAACTGAGTCCCTGAAATCTCCATCTATAGCCCCCTTCCCATAACTGGGAGAAACTGAGCCGCTGAAATCTCTATCTGTACCTCCTTCCCTTCATTGACAAAGTCAATGTGTTTTCAATTCATTCTCTGCAAACAAAATCTCATTAGTAATCCCATACCTAAGCCCCTCCTACGTGGAAATAGAGGAGACAGCAGTGTAAAAGGCCATTCTGAAGAAAACACTTACCACGTATTTCTGAGTTCCAGGAGATGTATAATCTTGTTTTATTTCCAACTCTAAGACGTTTCGTTTTCTATTAAATGCAAAACTTCCATAAAATTTTACTACTCCACTCTGGTCTCTGAAGAGTTGTAAAGGAAATTTTACGTACTGAAATGAGTATATTCTAAACAAAATAAGGTATTCATTACAGTATTAATTATTTTCAAATGCATTCCCACTAGTTCAAAGTTTGAGAGCATATTTCATTGTAAACTAGGTGGCAAAGAATTCAAAATTCTTCTGAAGAATGCTTACCCAGATTGAAATAAAAATTCTGAAACATTGAGAAATTTGTGTTTTGAGAGAAGCAAAACCATTATGAATATAATAGTGTTTTGAAATGTAAAATATGAAAACAGCAAAATTCCAAGATACCCCTCAAGTGGTGCCAATCTCTAACCACATCTAAAAGTCACCAGACTTCTGCATTTTGCAAGTCATCCTGCAGGCCTGGCTGGTGGATCATTTACTGCCCCACCATCAAACCTATTTCTTTACTCAAATACTAAAAAGGCTTTAACATGTGCCAGATTTTACAAATATAAATGTATATGTGTGTACATCTCAATGGCTAGTGGTACCTTAGAGGATATGATTCACAGTTCATAGCTATTTCCACTAGTATTTAGAAATATCAACAGTTCCTACTCCCTAGAGCCCCCCAAATCCCTCTTTTCCCATCTTCTTCTTACGTATTCATTATTCCCTTACCCACTCTGCTGAAACACTAATAAAAGAGGATACACCCACTGCTTGATTAAAGGCTGGATGTCTTTGCCAGAGACATTTGAAATGGATTTCAAAAACCCAGATGTGGAAACCAGCATCTGACTCCACATATGTGATTGGAACTTCTGAGATGAAGCAGTACTTGCCAGACTCAACAGCTTGTTGAACACCTGCAAGGAGAAGAGCGTCACTCAGTAAGTCAGAGAACAGATCACTTCAGTTGCACACTCCACCCACTCTGCACTATCATTTTATTGTTGCCAATTATTAAGACAATTTCACAACTTATTACACAGACTATTCTAGTTAAAAATTACTAGCAACAGAAACATGCAAAGACTTAAACAGCCAAAATATAAAACGATTCTTCATATAAACAATCCTGAAAGTTATGATGCACTAGACAAAAAAAATACTGTTTTTAAGGATTATAACAATATATAATACTTATAATTTACTGTGCTATAAGTGTTACCTAGGAAGTAAAAATTAAGAAGAATATGCATTAGGATTTATAACATTCTAAGAACTTGACTGGCTCTTTCTGAGTCATCTCTTATTTAATAATGTTTTTGTTCTTCACTTTAAAAGCAGGTGAAGAACAAAGAATTAAAGAAACTTAACTTTAGGGTAAACTTAAAATGCTCTTTTTTTACATTTATTATTATTTATTTATTTTGAGTCAGAGTCTCACTCTGTCGTCTAGGCTATAGTGGCACAATCACAGCTCACTGCAGCCTCAACTTCCTGGGCTTAGGCCATCCTTCTGCCTCAGCCTCCCAAGTAGCTGGGACTACGGGTGTGCACCACCACACATGGCTAATTTTTTATTTTTTGTAGAGATAAGGTCTCGCAGTGTTGCCTAGGTTGGTCTTGAACTCCTGAGCTCAAGCAATCATCTTACCTCAGCTTCACAAAGGGATTACAGGTATGATCCACCACACCCGGTTCTTAAAAGCTTTTTATCTTTATATTATTGTTATTATTATTTTGAGTTGGTGTCTCACTCTGTCTCTCAGGCTGGGGTGCAGTGGCATGATCATGGATACCGACCTCGACCTGCTGGGCTCAGGTAATCCCTTCCTTCTCAGCCTTCCAAGTAGCTGGGAATATAGGCACATGTCACCAGGCCCAGCTAATTGTTTTTGTTTTTTGATTTATTGTAGAGACAAGGACTTGCCATGTTGCCCAGGCTGGTCTCAAACCCCTGGGCTCAGGCAATCATCTGGCTCAGCCTCCCAAAGTGCTGGGATCACAGGTGTGAGTCATCACGCCCAGCTTAAAATGTTTTTAAGAGAGAGTAAGTTAGTTATTTTTTATCTGTCCCTAAGAATGTGACTAATGAAAAAAAATGACTGAACATTTATAATGCATCTGTTTCCACTATCTCAATTACTAAATTGCAACTACTTATACCAAAGCTTGTATAATATATGGCAAAATTTAGCAGTAACAAAAATAAACACCTTTTAGATTGGTTTCCTTTTTCTATTGACAACATTTCTAAATGGCATTGCATCTTTAATAGTGAAGAACACAAAATCATATGCATAAATAGGTTTACTTTCACCCCACCTTCTAATTTTATCCTCATAATTGTCATGTGCTAAGTGGATCAGGTATTGATACCCATTTAGACCAGATGTCCTATCTTCTAGTCTATAGAAAGATTCAGATTATACACATATAGAGCAGATCTTTCTCCTCTCTCACTGATTAGTTCTTAACTTTCACACTTACTTGTAGCATAAATTCCATACTGATTCTGTTTTCAATCAGTCTCATCACAAGGTGAGCCTTGCACTGAAACATAGTATAATATTCCCAGGAGAGGGTGTGTGGATGCTTTATTGAAAAGTGTAGATGGGAAGCTGGGCTGAAAAACATACACAGATATATATAATAAACAAATTTGGCTACTGAATAAACAATACATTTCATGGCCACATCAATACAATACATCAAAAACCTCACGGGAGTACCTAAACAATCTTGCTGGTACCAAGAAACATCTACCAATAAATTTAATTGGAAGGACATTATGAAGTCTTACTAAAGGACAGAGGAAAACTTGAATAAATGAAAACAAATACCAAGACCCTATATGAGAAGACACACTACTGTAAATACTTAAATCTTCCTACACCTATCAACACAATCATGCAATTCCAGTCAATAGCTCAACTTTAAGGCATGCATGCACAAAAATAGCCAAGATGAATTATATATCTAAATAATCAAACAAAAAAATTATAAAAGTACTAAAAAATATAGGCAAAATTTTCCTAAGGAAAAATACAAAATCCAGAAGACATAAAGATCAGAATGACTATTTAAAAATTTAAAATTTTCACATTATGAAAAAGACCATCAGCAAATTAAGAGAAAGATAAAGCCTAGAAGAAAATATTCATGACATATGTGAACATTAAGTTGTTTACAATTCTTCACTATTCCAAATAATGCTGTGGCATCTTTTTACATATGTGTAATTATTTCTGTATGATAATGCCTAGAAGTAGAATTTCTGAATGATCATATATACCTAGAAGCAGAGTTGCTGGATCTAAAAACTACTCATTCTAAAATTCTGACTGGCACTATCAAAGTACCCTGCATAAAACATATCAAATTATACTCTTACAATCAATACATATAAGTGGTGTATGGCTTGAATGATGGTGTCCCCTCCAAAATTCATGTTAAAACTTAATCTCCAATGCAGCAGTAGTAAGAAGTATGGTGTCTGGGAGGTGATTAGGTCCTCAGGTCTCCACCCCACAGATGAGATGAGCACCTTTGTCTATGGGCTTGAATGAGGTTGAAGGGAGTGCTTCCTCATCCCTCTGTCCTTTCCACATGTGAGGACACAGTGTTCTCTTCTCTGGATGACGTAGTAACAAGGCCCATCTTGGAAGCAGAGAGCAGCCCTTACTAGACACCAATCCACTTGGCACCTCAATCTTGGATTTTCCAGGCCCCAGTGCAAGAAATAAATTTCTATTGTTTATATATTAACCAGTCTGTGGTATCTTGTTATTAGTAGCATAAACAAACTACAAGTGGCATCATATGCCTTTCAAACATGGCATATGAAAATGTAAAATATTCTTTGAATCCAATACTTTAAAAATTATTCTCATACTTCACTTATTACTTCCAACCTTATGAGCTTCATGAACTTGTGAGCTTCAGCCACGAATGGCAACATGGTTAAATACATTCCAGGGTACAACGGATCCTGACCTCTTAAATGGAATGAAGTAAGTTTATGTACACAGTCAAGGTTGGTGATATAACCTCTGAACAACAAACATACTTATCCTTCTCCTTTCCTCCCCCAAATATGGGATGCAGTAAAACTCCACCAGTTTTCAGTTCATACATCACTATTTTGTCTAGTTCCTAAAAAAAGATATCAAAGAGTCAGTAAAATTCATAAAGTAACATTCTTTTACATGTAAAATTTTAGAATTAAACTCTAAATTCTCATTTGCTGGAACCAAAATGCAAATTTCTTGAAATAAGTGGGATACACTTGGAGAGAAGTTCACGTTTCTATACACAAAACAATCACAGAGCAGGCGATGAGAGCCACGTCTGCTCTCCTTGGGAACTCAGGACTACCACAGCCTAGTAACCTATCCTTATGCTTCTGCTCAACCTCTGACCTGCCTCCTTGGGACGTCACGACTGCTGCAGCCCAACAATCTTTGCAAAGCTCCGCTCAACCTCTGACCTGTCTCCCTGGGATGCCAGAACTTGCTGCAGTCTGACAACTTTTCCTTATGGCTCTCTGCTCAACCTCTGTCCTATCTTCTTGGGACCTCAGGGCTGTTGCAGCACAGCAACATTTCCTTACACATCTGCTCAATCTCTGACCTGTCTTCTAAGTTTATTTCTTCCTTCTCTGTGTTTTGTTTCTGGAGATTTAGACAAGTAAAAAGAAACTGGGAGAAATTATGTCAGGAATCCATCCTTTTAGAATGTATCCAGTCTTCTTTAATATGACATAAAATTAAAAAAAAAAAAGTTTAAGTGGAAAAACATCACCACACTGTGCTGGGAACATATGACTCGTTTAAATAACGTAGATACAGTATTGAAAAGGGGTAAACAGCATAGGGAAGCAGCTGAAAGCCAAGTTTGTGCCCTGGTCTTCTACTTACTAGCTATGTACTTTGACCAAATAATGTAACCTCTATGTGCCCATTTCCTCAGCTGTAAAACAGAGATATTAATGGGGTAGTCAATCTATTGAGAATTAAGATTGTTAATATTCATAAAATGTTCATAATAGTGTCTGACATATAACCATAAGTGTTATTTTTTCTTTAATAGCTTCTGAAATAAAGAATGGAATCTTCTATTTCTAGATGTATGAAACCTTGAATAGTTATAGAAGCTTAAAGTCTTTAACAATTAACTTTTTGGCTTACTTAAGTTTATGCTTAGATGATGAAAATACATAAAGTGGGAAAAGGGGAAAGATGACGGGATTTACTCAATGAAGATATTAAAGGTTGAGATTTTTCTGCTTGAGAAGGAAGAAGCTAAGTATGATATAATTAAAATGTATGTGGGTATGGCCAGAATGCGCAAAGCAAAATACAGTCAATTTTTTTTGGGGGGGCAAATCTTTAAATAGTAAGAAAAAGATGTGATAATGACAGAGAACATAAATGCACTCAAGCACTAGCCAAGAACAAGTAGTTACTACGTTCATAGCACTACGCACATTTCATGTGGTGTCTCAGATACCACAATCGCCCTCTTCATGCAGATAAGGCTTAGAAAGATTAACCAAAGTCAAAAGTTAGACAAATTAAGGAAGCACAGTCATAAATGATTACTATGAGGTGTTAGGCTACTATTGACAAACCTGATGATTAACGACCCTAAACATTCTCTTCCTCAGGAAAACAAAATGTCTTTAGGGGACACTGACAATGGAAGCTAGTTAAAATGAACCCATCAGTCTTTCTCAGTAAAGTGATTCTCATCTTGCTGGAAAAAATTAAAGATATTCAAATGACATTTTAAAATTAGTTTACGATCATTAAAAATAAATGACACGAAACCTGGAAATCAGGGAACACAAGCATGTCTTAGTGACTTACAAGTGGGTAACAGATCCAGTCGTTATTACCTCTTTAATCCAATGGCGGTACTCATTAACACCAAAGGTTTTTTTCATCCAAAGTCCATAAATATAGCCTGAAATTCCCTTTAGCACCCATTCATCAGACCTAAGCAAAAAGTCAAAACATAAACTACTTTTCATCATAAAAACTCTTCAGATGGTGTCAAAGAGGATAATGGACTATGATTAGTGTGAACCTCCCTGCCTTCTTAAAGAGAGTGAGAATTATTAATAAATCATCGGGTTTCCCACCTTCCTCAGCTAAGTCCCATCTGTCCACTCATTGTGCTTCCTCTCATCGGGCTTTACCTTTAACAGTAAGATGGCTTTATAGTTTTATTTCAAGCATAATCAACCAGAGTGTGTGCTCTGCTCGGACAGTGCTGCTGCCCTCTGGCCTAGCTCTGTTCACCCCATCTCTGCCTCTGAGGAAACACCTGCCTGTGGCCAGGACTATCCTGCTCAATACTAAAAGTCAATATTCTATTATGGCAGTCCTATGCATTAAGCCATTATCAATGGCATTCCAAAACCTAATGTTCAATTACTTAATTACTTTATTTTTGGTTTCTCCAGAAAAAAAAGCAATAAACACCATTTATTCATTAGTATATCCATCCTTCCATTCATCCATCACATTTTTCCTACCACGTTCTGAGCACTATTCCTTTTTTTTTTGAGTCTCACTCTGTCGCCCAGGCTGGAGTGCAGTGGCACCCTCATGGCCACTGCAGCCTTGACCTGCTGGGCTCAGGAGATCCTTCCGCCTCAGTCTTCCAAATAGCCAGAACTATAGGTGGGCACTACCACACCTAGTTAATTTTTTATTTATTTATTGTAGAGATGAGGTCTCACCAAGTTGCCCAGGTTGGTCTCAAATCCCTGGGCTCAGGCATCCTCTCGCCTTCGTCTCCCAAAGTGCTAGGATTACAGGCTGAGCCACCGGGCCTGGCCAAAGCACTATTCTTTAATGAAACTACCTTGTGCAATTTTAGGAAAATTACAAATCAATTACCCTCTGCCCTCTTCCCCCCAGGAAGAAAAAAATCAACTAAGATTTACATATTAGCCGGGCTCGGTGGCTCAGCCTGTAATCCCGCGCCTTTGGGAGGCTGAGGTGAGTGGATTGCCTGAGCCCGCGGGTTCGAGACCCACCTGGCAGCGAGACTTCATCTCTACAATAAATCAAAAAATCAGCCGGGCATGGTAGCACATGCCTGTAATTTCGGCTACTTGGAAGGCTGAGGCGTAAGGATCACCGGAGCCCAGCAAGTCGAGGCTGCAGTGGCCGGGAGTGGCCACTGCACTCCAGTCTGGGCGACAGAGTGAGACTCCAACTCAAAAAAAAAAAAAGAAAAGAAAAGATTTACATACTATGTAGAGTACAGATTATTCATACTTATAATTATCATCTTAATTTTTGTGTTTTCTTCAAAATCATTTCAAGTTAATAAAAAAAAAAGTGTATATACCCCTCACTTCTTTCAGTGACATGGTACAAGACTAAGCACTAGCAAGCCAATCCCTATATCATTATCATTATAGTAGACAAGAATTATTTTGCCTTAAACATTGCCCTGAACATTTCCAACTGCTTTGAACTTTCATATTAGAATTCTAAATATAGTTTTCTGCACATCTAAGTTCTTTTATCTATAGTAATCATCTAACACATTGTCTTACAAAAATTCTTACCTTATTCTTATTGTAAACTGCAGAAGTAATCGTATGATTTCATGGCCAAAAAGTTAGAATAAAATTTACATACACCATTTAAAATACATATAGATAGGACAGACCAACAGACAGATAGATGTAGATAGATAACAGTGTCTTTTAAATTAGCTATCTGTAATGAGGACAAAGGTCAGTTTACATTGCAGGAAAATAAAATAAAAATAAACTTTTCTGAGTTTTTGATTAGTAGCTATAAATTTTGAGATTACTTACCAAGACATTCTGGATATGAAGCATCCAAAAAACTGCTGGGCCAAGGACTGGGCTAAACACCTTCTAGTCAAAGGTGTCTCATCTATAATCATGGCACTATGTAACAGATTTGTGCTGGAATTTAAAGAAGGCTAATTATTACCAATAAATAAGTGGTTATTCAGTCAAAATAAAATAATTCTACTTTTATAATGATGAAATTGAAGCTAAATAAGCAATAGAAAAACCAGAACATTCTCCCAAAGTGTTTACTAATCTTTTCTAAATTTTGCTAAAATACATAATCTTAGTAACTTTTGCGTAAAGCAAGAGATACAATGTTTCCTATTGATTTCCTTAAAATATATAAATAACTTTTTTGAAGGCTGGGGGAGAAGCATCATTAATCATAAAATGGTAGGTTAACCTGAAGCTGATACTTATATAAGGGGCTTCCAATTTCAAAAATCTAACTAACTTTTTGTACTCTATTATCTACTTTCAAATGCGTGATCCCACTAGATCCCTCTAACAGTCTGGAGAATGCAAAGGCAGTAGATACAAGAAAATTTAGGTTCGATGAAGGCAAAATGACTGACCTTGAGACCTAAGACTTCTATAATTAGAACTTTCCAAAGAAGAAGGGAAAGAAGGAAGGGAAGGAGGTAAGAAGGATAAAAAAAGAAAAAGAAGTACTTCTTTTTTATATTTTCTATAAACATATTTCTGATGATATCAATAAATTTTTAAATAGTGCTAGAGAAAATAATCATACTTATTCTTATAATAATTTGCATGATTTAAAAGATGTATAAACACAAAACGTAAAAAATATGGAAAATAATATCAGTTAATTCTGAGTGAAGATGAGTCTTTTGATTATCTTAAAGTTTCCTTCTTTATGTTTTTCTGTATTTAAACATTCTAAAAACTACATTTCTTGTAAAGTCAATCATTTCTATATTTCAAAAGTACAAAAACTCATCTCAAAATGGATCATAAAATCAGTGACTTTTCTTCATATCACCACCCTAATTTAGGCATCTCAAATTCTAAGTGATACCAACCTAAAAATGCTCATGGAAGCATAAGCAGCCACTTCCACATAGGCCTCATCAATGAACACAGTCTTAAAACAGGAGTATGGGTACCGGCAAGTGAGAATTTCTTCATAAAATTCAAAGACTTCATGAAGGTACGATGTGGTATGTTTTAGCAATGGAAGAAGTTGGGGTAAACAAAAATGAGTAACCTGAAAATAAGCAAGGAAGATCTAAATGAAAGAGTTAACATTAATATTTTAGAGAGAGGGGAGGGAACCACGAGGCACGATGGACGATGGGTGTTGTGGGAGAAGAAAAGGGGCTGTAAAAAAAAACAACTTAATATTTTACATTTCCTAAATATCTCAATTTTAAATAAATGTTCATATATATATGAACATATATATATATAATTTTTTTTTTTACAAATTTCATAATGCTGAAAGAAAATGCTGTTGTGAAATTGGCAATTACTTTTATTAACCATATTTGCCAGGTGCGCTGGCATGTGCCTGATATCCCAGCTACCTGGCAGGCCAAGGCGGGAGGATTGCTTGAGCCCAGGCGTTTGAAGCTACAATGAGTCAAGATCATGCCACTGAACTCTATTCTGGACAACAGAGTAAGATTCCATCTTCAAGGAAAAAAAATTACAAACGATATTGAAAGTCATGCTAAAGACTTATAATTACTGCAGAATTGCGGAGGCAAGGGGAGTTTTTAATGTAGGATCAAAATTCTTCTAATAGCATTTTAAAAGAATAGAATCGTGGCTACCTCAGAATGGTATCTGTATATTACTAACATTCAGGGCCCAAATTGTGGTATACAAAAAAAGCCTATTCATCAAAAACTCCTCACTTTTAGAGAAACGCACATGACAGTGAATCTACTGAGAAAGCAGGTATCAACTATTACATATTTGAGACAGAGAAAGACTAAACCATGGACTCTAAGTATTCAAGGAAAATACTTCTTGACTGTCATTTACCTTGTTCCTTTTCAATAGTTCAGAGTGGAAAAAATTCTTCCAAAATACAAAACAGGTACTAATCAAATGTTGATTTTTAAAGTTGATCATTTACCAAAGAAAATAAAGTTCACTGCCAATCTTATCAGGGGAAACACCATTAAAAGAATCATTGTCAAGATAGCATAAGCAAAACCATTCACAGCATATCTTGATCCTTTTCCATCAGTGATTTTCCAAATCTTGTGAATCTCAGAAAAGCAAATAGAAAAGGCATACTGAGCCTACTGACACTCTTAAGCTTACTGTCCATAATTTTTATTCACATAATTGAAAAAAATGCTGTTGAGATATATATGATCAAATATATGCTTGGTTTTCTTTTTTTAAGGCTAATTTGAAAACATAAAGAACTAACAGTAAATAAAAAGAGATTTGATCAAATGTTATTATTATTTTTTTTAGAGACAGGATCTCACCCTGTCACCCAGGCTGGAGTACAGTGGTGTCATCATAGCTCACTACAGCCTTGATCACACCTTGACCTCATAAAGTGCTAGGTGTGAGCTACTGTGTCCATCCTCAAATGTTATTTTAAACAGAAGCCAAAAAAGTTAATAACTAATACATCATGTTCTAACCAGTAGAAGTCTTATGCTTGGGAGGCCTAAAATGACTATTTTGCCTATCAACTAGTCTATAAACTGTGATGCTGGGAAGAAAATAGAAGTATTCATATGAGTTTTCTGGGCAGAATTCTAACTCTGCCTCAGTTTTTTCTCTTTTCTTCTGTACATGTTTAAATGTGAATTTGTCTTGCTCTCTAATTTTGGATTTACAATATTTCAGATTCCAGAGATGGGATTACAACATTCAAAAACATGCTAAACAAAAGATGACTTTAGTAATGAACAAAATTAGTTATAGAAATCAAGCTATACTTTGCAAATCAAAGTAAAACTGAAGCTCTTTTGAGATGCTAAGCCCCTTGAAACAAAGTCCTGAAATTTAAATACAACAATATTTCGAAGAGAATTCAATCCAGAGTTCACATCATTAGATACATCAATGGTGATAAGCTTGACAGTTGAAGGCAGAGTTAAGGAAGACTCATTCCTTCGTCAGCACCTTCCTGCTACAAGAAGTATAGGGTGGGAAGAATGAGAGGAGTCTCTGACCTACCTCATGCATGTATGGGTCCACAAGTATTTCAAATGGCCCCATGGCCACAGCGATGTTAGAAGCTGCCGTAGGAATGGTGAGCATGTAGTGGAAGGTCTTCTTACGCATGTCGTGGGTATATACTGTCTCCACCAAATCTCCACTAGAGACAGCTACCATTGCAGCATCTACTGTAAATTCTAACTTCCATGTACACAATTCAGAGTAGGAATCAACGCAAGGGAACCAAAATCTAAAAAAAAATTGACAGTATAGAAAACTCAATAAAAATGTACTCAGCGCTGTTTTCCCCACATGTTATTTTACCATTTCTAGAAAATAAACACAAAGCAACTTTAGCTATTTGACTACTAAAGCTATGTACTCTACAACCTGAAAGGACCTGATGAAATAAAATGTTTCCAAATATTATTTGGCAATATTAACAAAATATATCATGTGGTGCCACCATTCTAAAACCTAAAAGGAGTTAAGCAATTCTTAGTTTCCAATTCTTTAATTGAAAATAATTTAACTTGGTATAGTTATATTAGTCAGTCTTTATGTAGTAACCATTTCCAGAAATTAAATGAAGTTTTATAGGACACAATTAATATTCAGAATCTATCCCATAAGTTAGGAAATTGCTTTTTTGGATGTACTATGTAAATTCAAACTAAGTACTGGTAAAGCCAGAGTCATATTTATATATTTATATTTATACAATTTATATTCGACTTTTGTGAATTTAGATCATGTTGTATGTACCAGGGCCGGAATTGGTACTGAGGCAAAAAGAGTCTAAGACATCATCCCTGGCTTGGAAGAGTTAAAAATCTGAGGACAGCACACACACTATCAAGTATTTCAATGACTTGCAGTGAACAACATTGCTGAGAATGAATGTTCCACAACTTCACACAGCAATGCAGGCAACTTTCACCATCGATGTTGTACGAAGAAGACATAAAGACACAAAGAGCACAATGCATATGATTCATTCCAGAAAGTTAAAATGGATGTGTTAGTTTACAATCCTTTAGCCATCAGGCTAGATGGCTGGAGAAAGCTAGCAGGGGAAGCGGTAAACTGTTAAGAAGTTATTTCTGAGAGGCTAAAAACGTTCTTTCTTCTTATCTGAATGTAGATTTGTTCACTTGTGAAAATTTACCAAGCACTACACTTACAAGTTGTGCAATCTTCTGTAAGGGTGTTTTACTTGAATATAAAATTTTTAAAAAAGAATCAAGTGGGATGATTACTTTAGAACAGTAGACTTGAAAAGAAGAGAAAGGGATGGGTATGAAGGCTCACGTCTGTAATCTCAGCACTTTGGGAGGCTGAAGCAGGAGGACTACTTGAGGCCAGGAGTTCAAGACCAACTTAGGCAAATAGTGAGACCTCACCTCTACAAAATCAAAAAGTAACCTGGCATGGTGGTACATGCCTGTAGTCAGCTACTCAGGAGGCTGAGGTGGAAGGACTGTTTGAGCCGAGAAGGTTGAGGCTATGATAAGTTGTGATAGTGCCACTGCACTCTAGCTTATGAAACAGAATGAGATCCTAACCAAAAAAAAAAGAAAGAGAGACAGAGGAAGAGGGAAGACACAAGACTGGCAAGGAATGACTAATGAAAAAAATCTGGAAGAGGTGTAAGATTGGGAGTCAAGCTCATACTTCTTATTTTACACTAAATGTATGCCTTGCATATACATAGAAAAATGCAACTGAAAAATGGAATTAATTGAAATACACAAGAATGTATAACCTACCTTGTAGAGTTCTGATATCCACAAGAGAAGACGTGGGCACCCCTCTCAGCCATACTGCCCTCCACATTGGGCACTACAAAATGAAGACCTCCTTTAGGCTGGTCCAAAGAGAAGTTAATGTGAATCTTAAGGACCTTTAGCTCTGCAGCAACAAACACACACACAGGTACATAGATTAGTAACAGTGGGCTATAAAATACAAGCAAAGACTTGATGCTGAACACAAATGGAAATCAGAAGCTGAGTTTAGTATGAAAAGTCACACTACTCACCCTAGTATAGGCTTTAACCATATTCTCTCTGCCTATAGTAAGGCAACAGCCTGTCTCAGATGGTGTTCCTACCTCCCATTAACTCTAATCACTACTAGTAGATTTTCAGAAAACATAGCTCTGCTCATGCCATATCCACCTCTCAACATTTCTGACAATGTACAATATCTAAGGAAAAAAAAACCTCAAAATTCCCACACTGGACACTTAAGGCTTTTCAAATCCAACCCTAAACTTACTTTTCAAGTTGTTTCTCCTATTACATTCTCCTGCAAAATATTAACCGTAGTTGACTTTGGGGAGTAGATGTGGGGCCTGGGGTAGAAAGGACTACCTGAGAAACGTATTTTGCATTATTTATAATGTTTTTTGTTATGTTTGGGTTCTGCTCTAATTCTAAACTAATTTGATATTACGTGGGTTTTCAAGTCTTGACAAATCGTTCTATCCATATGTTAAGAAAAAAATCTTTTACTTCAAAAAACAACAAATGAGTTGCTTTTTGTCATAGTCACTGACTGATATTTTCCTGTTAGTCAGTGATCCTTAGCAAGAGAAAGAGCTTCCAACCCTTCTGTACATTCCAGCTGGTTACTCCACAGTCCTGACATCATCAGTTTTCTTGACTCTGAACCTAACGTGGCTGGAGGGCACAGTCAACACATTCTCAGGGCGTTACCATCAACGTGCTTCCACAGCTCCGAAGGAACCTTAATGCAAAGTTCTCCATTTCCTGCATCAGGGTCTACTGCGCTGACTGCAGCAGCATAAGCATTGGAAAAGTAATTGAGGTTTCTCCTGGGGAGAAAAAAAAACCCAATTTTTAATACTAATGAGCCAAATATTTTACAAGCATTTTCTTAAAAATCACTTGATACCACTTGTTTGTAAGCATTATATTTTATTACATCACTCCTTAGAATACTTTATAGCCAAGTAATAGTTTGTGCTACTCATCATGCTAAAAACTATTAAACTATTAATACAAAGGCTTATATATATATTATTATGATTATCACATTCTTCATTCATTCTGGAGTGTCAAGACCACTGCACTTTTCTGATGCAAATGGAAGAAATATATTGAGAACAAAAAAGTAATTATTTATAAATCTGGCAAAAAGTCAAATGGATCCAACAAGCTTAACAATTTGATAAAAATTAACATGTCATGTTCCCTCTGTATCCAGAGACATTCAATAATTATGTGTTCAACAGATATTTGGCCTTACCTTCCACGGGATGAAAACAATATGTTATGTACAAGTATTATAGAATACGAAAATGCTGTTCTCATGATTTTCTAATTGTACTCCATAAAAACAACTTATACGTGTATATATTACATTTCCTCATGTAACTAAGGAAAATAACAGGGAATAGAAAGATCAAGAAAACAAAAGGAAAGACACACACAATATGCCATATCTTGGCTACACACCTGTACGTCTCCATCCTGCCATAGAGGTAGCCACGAAAGAAAGTCAGTGGCATTTCTACAGCTTAATAATTTTTAATCTACTTAAAAGCCAAGTTTCACATACTCTACAGAATGATTAATGGAAACATAAAATGGGAAAAGCCAATAAAGAAGCACTAAAGTATGGACTCAACTTGACAGAGGTCATTCCTTCCCCATCTTCATCCATCTCTCTCTAATTAGGAAGGACATAACATAGCTATGGTGTTACTAACTATTCAGGATAACAACTACAAAACATAAGGTTCCAGGAGTAAAAATATTTCTCAATATATTTTAACAATTTCTTTCTGCTAAATAAATATGTAAAGTAAAAGGTGTAAAAACTTCAGAACGATAATAAAAACAGTAACTGTAGTTTTCACTAGCTATCTACAGATAAACTTTGGAGATACTGTGGGTCCGGTTCTAGACCACCACAATAAAGTGAATACTGCAACAAAGCAAGTATACAATTTTTTTGGTTTCCTCATGCATATAAAAGTCATGTTTACACTATACTGTGGACTATTAAGCACACAATAGCTTAAGCGTGTCTAAAAAAACAATGTTTTTTTAAAAACACAGTTCCTTCTTGAACATATAGGTGCAGATTTTGCAAAACTTCAATTACTTGTACACTTTTTCTCTATTTTAAAAACTTTTTATGGAAGTAAAATATATATCAGAAAAATACGCATACCCTAAGTATACAGCTCAATGAATTTTTGCAAACTGAAAAATCAAGTAATAAGCCAATACCCAAATGAATCAGGATAACATTTTTAAAATAATCAAAACAAAATTAAACCTGATACCAGGAAGTAAAAGGTTAGAAAAAAAAATCTACCTTAAGAGTCTTGTCTCTGAAAAAGCCCAGGTGACTTCACTGATTACAAGCTCAAATATGAGCCAACAACGTAGAGCAACTATTTTTAAAAGGCTACTGAATTTCAAACTACTAGAAGTACCATATATAGGAAAAGGATACAACAGTCCTACTGTAATGCATGTGCTGATGAGTCCAAATGAAGAACTATATCTAGTTCTAGGATCACTACATTTAAGAAAATGCAATGCCGACTCTGAGACTACCCAAAAAGACAAAGGAGATGGTAAATTAGTAAACAGTGTCACATCAGGAATAGGTGAGAGTAATCTCAATAATTCTGTAGCCTGAAGAGGAGAAAATGTAGGGGGAGATAATACTAATTTAATTAGGATAAGTTTGCGACTATTACGGCAAAGAAAACTGTAACTCGATATAACAAAGAACTACCTAGCATTTAGAAATAATGACATGGAGTTGTCACTGGCGCCAGGCACAGTGGTGCATGCCTGTAATTCCAGCTACTCAGTAGGCTGAGGTGGGAGAATCGCTTTAGTCCAGGAGTTCCTGGACAGCCTGGACAATATAGTGAGACTTTGTCTTTACAAAAAATAGATTAATAGTAATGATAAAAAGAAATGATGAAAGGGGTGTTGCAAAGTACACTAAGCTCTCCAGAGCTGGAAGCACTGAAGCAGGAGATGAAGTATAGGAAAACTTCATGATGAAGTTTACACTAAATAAACCGTAGTGTGCTCCAACTCTATCAACTTAATTCCAAGCAATATGACTAAAGCATTGATAGTGAAGCATTGTGATTGATTTAAAATACAAAACTATCAATATCACTGAGCCACGATCAATAAGGGAATTAGCACCTTCTATTATGTGATATCAGTACTGTGTAGAGGTCTGCATTAAAATATAGAATCTAGAAAATCTTTAAAAAACAATTTAAAAAAATCAGAGTAACTGAATATCTACTTCATTTCTACTACCACTCTTCAATCGAAATGGAGTGAGGAGACAGGAATTAAACTGATTCTTGAAAGTGTGGGAAGTGGAAACTTTTCAGGCAAAATAAAAACAGTGTCTTAAAGAGCAAAGCCTATTTAGGGAAAGGACAGAAACAAAGAGGAAAGAGAGATGTCAGCTATCGTACGCTACCATCCACAGAAACAGTTTCTCTGGCAAATTTTACATTTGTTTTTTTCTAAGAGAGAAGTGTAGAAAAAAGACCCCCACAAAACAAGAGCCACAGCGCCATTTGAGGCAAACTATAATTTATCTACAATACATAAGATTCAAACACATAGTAAAATACATTTGAAGAAACTTCAAGTGCTGAAGTTATTTTACTGGCACACAATAAACCAAAAAAACAGAGACATCTATAGACGTTATGTAACCAATGGTTTTAAATTGTTAATATAGGTAATTTAACAAGTCAGCTAAAATTTAGTTATATAAAATAAGTGGAAATGCTTTTTAGTCTCTTGTCTAAATGTTTCCTTTTCACGCCTCTCCCTACAGTTCATGGAGCTGAATCTCAACCAGTATAAACACAGTCTATCAAAAATAGGCAGGCCTGGCATATTAATTTTTAAAAAATGAGAAAAAATTGTGATTAATAGTATATTACTTCTTTGAGTGTTAGGACATCCTTATATGTATTAAAGACCAAATTTTACCATTAAATTTGAAATTCCACTTTTAACTTCAAAACTGCTACAGTTAATTTCTTTAGTTTTATTGGTTCAATAAAAAAGGAAAGACATTTTAGAAACAAGAAAGATAACAGAAGTGTCTGGGCACATGTTCAAACCATAACTATCTACCTTTCCCAAAGCTCCCTTGAAAAATAATGCCATCTCTGAGAGATATTCTTCACATTTGACTTTTGAATAATTGGTATGTTCGTCTTGTGTCTTATGAATCTTATAAACAATGGTGTTTCCTTCTTTGCTATGGCAACCAGAAATGTAAAAATCAAATCTGCAGTTTCCCTATGGGAATTGTATAGTAACGTAACAGTGTATACCCACCATACTATACTAGTTTACTTTCATGTTAATTTCACTAGCTACCAGCTATTTTTTAAACTTTTGTCTAATAAAACTCTAAAAACAATTTTAATTCCTTTTTTGAACAAGTCAAAGAATAAACATCAGCAAAATTAATGAATGTCATCGCTCAAAAAATAATCAAGATTCTAGAGGTAGGCAACAAAGCCTGGATAGTGACCACGGCCAACAGAGCTCTGGTTCTAGGGGAAATAAAAATTTAATATATTTTATCTTTCCCAATTTCCTAACCTAACCTTTGAAAAGATTCCTTTATTTATAGCACTAAAAATGATGGGGCATCTTCCGCATTAATAGAGAAAAATTTCAGGGATACCATCAAAATAAACAGCAAAGTAAAGCTCATTTCCTTTCGAGAGCAAGAGCTGTCCCTGCACTGAACCAACGAGTGTCCCTGAAACATGGTAGGGGCAACACGTCACCTCACGTGTATGTGCAACACTGGTGGTGACTGGCAGGTGGACTGGCTTCTTACCCTACTATCAAATGCTGTGCTCTAGGCTGGACGGTTTAGGCACCCTGGCCAGGTCCCTGTTCTATTTCAGGTGATTTTTCCATTCATTAGTGGTGTTCACTTACTACATCAAAGGCAGATGGTTTGTGGCTTTTTTTCAGGGGGAACAGGATGCAGATGATTTTGTAATGTCTTTTCATGTCAGTTCTACAAGTGTGTCTATAAAAGTAATGTGATTTCAACAGCTTACCTTTGTGAAATGAAAGATACAGAAGTAATTCAGTGACTCTGAATTTTTCAAACCCCAATTGCTTATCTCCTCCTCAAGTGTGAAAGATTCTAAATCAATGACTACTAGGAACATAGGTATGTCTAAAGGTAAGTCTCCCTTCTCACCTTTGCCAACCCTCTGGCAGTAGTGCACAAGATTCAGTTCATCTCAGACTCACCAGGTAGTCTTGTTAAAACAACTGTAGGCCAAGCATGGTGTCTCACACCTGTAACTCCAGAAATTTGGGAGACCAAGGTGGGAGAACTGCTAGAGCCCAGGAGTTCAAGACTAGCCTGGGAAACATAGTGAGATCTCATTTCTACAAAAATTTCAAAAAATATTAGCCAGGTGTGGTGGCACACATCTGTAGTCCCAGCTACATGGGAGGCTGAAGCAGGAGGATTGCTTGAGCCCAGAAGATTGAGACTGTGATCATCATGCCACTGCACTTCAGCCTGGGAGACAGAGTGAGACCCTGACTCAAAAATCAAACAAACAAAACAAAAACACACTTGTAGGATGCTACCCCAATTTCTGATTCAGTAGGTCTAGGGTATTGCCCAGGAATCTCTGTCCTAAACAGTAGCATCGTGATGCTGATGCTGCTTGTCTGGGAATCACACTTTGAGAACTGCTGCCTTTAGGCAGTGACTCATCCAGACGAGGTAAAATATCATCTTGACTAAAGGGACTTTATGATGGAGTCTTGGCATTCCATAACAAAAAAATGAGATTCACAGAAATGATATAACCCAATGCTATCACAGCTTTGAAAAGCAAGTGCCCTCAAATGTAGGTGAAAATGTTTAAATTAATATGAATCTTCTTAGAACACAATGAGGCAAAATACTAAGAATAGCCATAAGGAATAAGTAATCCTACTTTCCTAAGGAAATAATTCAGTGGAAAAAAATACTTTATGTGCCAAAGTATTCACTCAACATTACCTATGATTGCAAAACTATGACTAGAAATTATACAAATGGTCAGGTGTGGTGGCTCACACCTGTAATCCCAGCACTTAGTGAGGTGGAGGTAAGAGGATTGCCCGAGTCCAGGGGTTTGAGACCAGCCTGGGCAACTTGGCGAGACCTCCTCTCTACAATAAATCAAAAAATTAACCAGGCATGGTGGCGGGCACCTATAGTTCCAGCTATTTCAAAGGCTGTGGTGGAAAGGAACACCTGAGTCCAGAAAATTGAGGCTGTGGTGGCTGTGAGCATGCTACTGCGCTCCAGCCTGGGAGGCAGAATGAGACTCCATCTCAAGAAAAAAAAAACAACAACAAAACTATACAAATGGCAAACAACTGGAGGATAATCATGCAAATTATAGTACACTGAGTAAATGGAGTATTACCCAACCATAAAAATGAAGGACACACACACACACACACACTAAAAACAAAGTATTAAATGGAAAAAGCAGAACAAAAAACTGATCACAGCAATATATGTATAATAAAAATTAAAAGTAGCCTCAATAGATGAAATATTTATTTAAGGTGAAGGAATGAGGTATTTTAGACACAATATTTTTATAATATAAAGTAGTCAAAATATTTTATTGAATATTTTGATCTACTTTAAAATATTCTAACCATCTAACTTAACCCATTGAAAACTACTTTTAAGATTTATGAGGTAAATAATTTTTAAAAATTAAAAGCAAATAAATGGCTAAGAAAATCTATTTAAAGTTCCCAGATAATACTTCTTTAAAACTGCAATATGAGGAAGAAAAACTTAATAATGTACTGTGTTGGGTATAACTAGCAAAATCACTTGATCCAAATGTACAGAGTGGTAAAAATAACAAAGTATATTAGAAAAAAAAAATTGGTTCCTAAGTCAGAGGAGGAGGTTGCACAGAAGAAAAAGATATCCCAGAAGAAACTGAAGAAACAAAAACTTATGGCACGGGAATAAATTCAGCATGCAATAAATGCAGATAAAAGTGAAAAAAAAAAAAAGAAAAAAAAAATTGCGACTCAGTACTTAAGAATCTAAAAAAATAGCCTGTGAAAAATCAATCAATCATTAAAATCCATTTTGTGGGGGTTATCTTTTAGAAATGACAACCTTTAAACTGTGTAACTTACTGTTTTGATTCATTGTGACAAACTTCCAAGGTTGGATCATTATAAATAAAAGCAGCCTCTAAATCGTTGACTCTTACTCGGTATATTCTACACTGTTTGCTGTTCAACTTGATTCTGTTCAAGTTTGCAACTGTGGGAAATATAGTCAGTTCCACAAATCCCTGTGAAAATAAAGAAAAAAACTTCATTATAACGACTGGTGTGTTTGAAAATGTATTTCTTTGATTTTGACTACTTATAAACATATTATACTCTAGAAGCAAAATCCCAAACAGCTACATACATACATGTGCTCTCCAAGTATATTAATTTCAAATGTGGTTTTCCTAGTGACTGAACAGGTGTGAATTATGTATACTTTATCATCTTGGTGGTTCACATCTACTATCAGTGAAAACTAGGCTATCTTTTAGAAAAAAAGCAAAAGGACTTACTCCCCAGTCTTAAATACCAGAATTTAAAGACAGACTAGAACTCAAAAAGATAAGAAGAAAATGACAGGGTAGAAAGATAACCAAAACGAGGTTGATGAGTAAAAGAACATAGCAGAAAAAATGGGGTAAAAAACTATTCCATGAGGGTAACAAGATTTTCTTCTACTCCTAGGAGGTGAATGAAGGCAAATACAGTGGCTAGAGTTACAAGAGACAGCTACACAGGCCAGTGAGGAAACCTATGACTGTTCCCAGGACAGCAGATACTTGCAAGTGTTGGGTGACTCCTACCAAGGAGTCCAGTGGCCAGAGAGAGCTCTTCCGTGTCAGCTGCATGGGTGCAATATGTCTGCAGCATGGGCCTGCGACAGGAAAGACAGTCAAACGCATTGACTGCCACCCTATTATGTGGGATCAGCGAGAAAGACGCAAAGATGAAATATGAAACCTACATCCGGTGATTTCAATATTCTGTGTTGAGAACTGATATACTCAAACATGAAACATGGCAGGGCAGGAAATAGTAACATTTCAGGGGCTGCAACAGAAATATCCAAGATGAAATTCAGATATCAACCACAGGAGACTAGGGTATAAGGGCCATTGCCATATGCCAGAATTGATGCTAGATACTTGCATGTTCTCTCTAATCCTAATGCCATATCTGAGAGACAAGTACTACTTTACACTTTTTGCAGGGAGGCCGTAAGAAATAAGTGTCACTGTACAGTGTTAAAAAAAAAATACTGTTAATGTTTTACACATAATAAAACAAAGATGTTTTAAAAAATACATCAATAGTAAGTAGAGAATTGAGATTCAGACACAACTAAATGATCCCAAATGATTCTCACCATGCCATAATGCCTCTGGGTATGAGGGTTTTAAATAATACACAGTAACTGTTTTTAGATCACATTCAGCCCAAATACTCAAAAGCCTAGAGACTAGACCCCGTAGCTTCCAACTTCCAAGTAAGAGAAGGCATACATCTGTAAAGTAGGTGACCTGCACAGACCTATGTGGTAGCAGCACAAAGAACAGAAAAAGCAAAGGCCAAAACACTTACAGGGTTGTGTGAAAAAAGGTACAAACTATGAGCAACTGCAGGAACTTTCTCCTTCTAATGAGCCTATCAGTTACCCAATGACCATTATAAATTTAAATGTGGTTGGATCAGCTGAAAGAGAACTCATAGAGCCAAGACAATGTCAAATGTGAATTAGAAAAAAAAGACTGTACAAAGTGCTGTCAATTTAGCTACTTGGGTGGGAACAGAGTGTATTTCACGAAGACAGGAAAAGCCCAATCCCCCAGTAAGCTCAGGCCTCTGACTCTACCTAGTCCCCGCCCCCCACGCCAGTCTGCACATTCATATACACTGACATCTCCCAGTTCTGATATCTGTCATCCGCAGCCACAGTCCTAGCTGCAAGCATCCTCACCTGTCACCTAACCTCTTACTGCCTCTTACTTTGTTTCCTCGCTTTTCTCTTCCTACCAGCTCTCTCCCTATTGCTTCACAACCATTCTCCTGGAGTCCCCATCCACTTTAAACACCATTTCCCCTGTGCTTTGCAGCCCTTTTGAAAACTCCCTCTACTTCCAGCCTTAAATGAAATGGCTCCTGAACACCCCTAGCCAAGGTGCTACTTATTGTCTTACTCACTCTGAATTAGGGTAGGGGAAAACAGGCCTTCTCCTAGTTTCCACTGCTACTTCTGGGCCACTTAAGGGATTTTACATCGAGTATGTTATAAGGCAAGGACAGTATTGCGTCACAGTGAAATGTGGGTGTTTGGAGGTAGACCCCTTGTCTAGAGATAAAAATCCCAGCACCACCACTTAGTGACTATATGACTTTGGGCTACTTTAGCTCTCCGTGCCTCAGTTTCCTCCTCTGTAAAACACAAGTAATGACACAAGGCCTTTTAGTATTATTATGACAACTGAACAATTCACTACATGGAACACACTTAAAATCATAGCTGGAATCTAGTAATTGTCTGATAAATGCTTCTATTATTCTTTTCTATTTCTCTTTAAAATATATATATAAATACACACACATACTCACACAGTCTCACTCTGTTGCCCAGGTTGGAGTGCAGTGGCATGATCAGTTCTCACAGCTCTCCACAGCCTCAACCTCCTGGGCTTAGGCATCCTTCCACCTCAGCCTCTTGAGTAGGTGGGACTACAGGTACATGCCACCATACCCAGCTAATTGTAAATTTTTTTGTAGAGATGAGGTCTCACTATGTTGCCCTGGCTAGTCTCAAACTCCTGGGCTCAAGCAGTCCTCTTGCCTTGGACTCCCAATGTGCTAGGATTACATGAGCCACTGTCCCTGGCATTATTCTTTTCTACTTCTTTTGTATTCATGGTATACGGGCACACTATCCTCAGTGTATCTTCACTAATACCTATGAAGCTCCCCAACATTCATGGAAGGTGCACACACTCCCTTTCTAATACTCTCTGCCATTACACTAAGTGATCTGCATATAGATATAGCTGATCAATCCAGTTACACTGCTTCAAATTCCTTGATCTCAACCCCTACAGTCCTCATTGAAGAAGCAACCAACATCACATCCTGGAAGCAATTCACCCTGCGTAGAACACTCCAGGGCTGGCACTAGAATCTGAATGTCCACAATGCCTCTCCTGCCACTCCTCCTGGGACTCCTTTCTCATCACTCCCTGTCCTCCTGCTCAGCTGCATGAAATCCCTATCCTTGGTCTTCCAGCCTCTCACACAATTTTCTTGGCACTCCTAAGACTACTTGCTCTCTGTTCATCTAGATCCTTAAATGCAATCACTCTGCTGCCAACTACCAATTCTCCTGTCCTTCTGCTATCTTTCCCTACAGTTTGCAAACGAACCTTCCAGGGGTCCTTAAGCCCATCCTCCAACCTTCAGACACCTTGCTCTATTTATTAGTCTCTCCTATAATTACTACCTTTCCTTTCTGTAGAATTTCTCCCTGTTCAGTATGTACCATCTTTTCTTAAAGGCTTTAGATCTATGCCACCCTCAAGTGAATTCTTTTTTGCCCTCCTTCTCCCATACCATACCTTCAACACAGAACTTCTTGAAAGAACAGAACATGATCACTGTTTCAACTTCTTGCATTCAGTACAATATGACTCATGGAGTCACCATTCCACTGTTTTATTAGTGGACACTAATGACCAACAATTACTTTCAGTTTTCAAGTTTTATTTATTGTCTACATTTAAAATTGATAGCATCTCCTCTTTCTTAAAATATGTTTTTCTTGACTTCTATGGTCCAAGTTAATCTTGGTCAGTTCCCTCAACTTTCACATTCACCAAATTATTTTTTCTTGAACCTCATCTCCTGCTAGACACTCACTGAGCTTCTCCACACCCTTCACTACCCACTGTATACCAAAGACCCCCATATCTCGATCACCATCCCACTGTTCTTCTTTAACTACACATGCATGTAGCCAATAACCCACTGTTCTTCTCAATTTAATGATCCAAAAGTACGTGAAGTGTAACATTTTCTAATCTGACCTACAAATCTTTCCTCCTAAATCTGATTCTCTTTGTGATATCCATACATGGAAAATGGAATAACCATTTGCCCAGATCTACTCACTCTGTCTTGTTGTACCCTGTCATCCAGAAGCAGCTGACATGAGCTGCTGACGGTTCAGTAATACCACCACATGTGAGACCACCAGGACACAGTCTTAAAACTTTGTGTAGTGTAAAACACAAAGAGTTATCTTTCCACAGTCAACACAGAACGGAAACCAAGTGGCAAAAGCTAAAGTGAATATTCTCATTCTTACACAAAAACACCACTGCAGGAACCTCTGCCTCCTGTCTAGGGGACCTTGGATTCAGTATATTCATAAGTCCAAGGGAAGAATGCACCCACTGGGACACACAGTCATGGATCCATCAGTCTGGAAGCAAAGACTGTCCCTTGACCACTCTGGGCTCTTCCTGCCAATGAACCAAAGGCAGGTCCTGTACTGGCTGGAATGACCAATCTCAATCACCAAACAAGAAATGGAAGCTTTGCTCTACTAATGGCCAAGGGTTACATGTAGAATCTAAGGGCTCACTGCAATGCTGCCAAGGTCCCTCTTGACCAATGGTCCTATCAGTGAAAACTGCAACAACCCAGTGAAGACATAAGAAGCAAGCACGAAGGACCAGGTCATTCCAACAGAAACTTTAGCCGAAGGGAACCATAAGGAGATAAAGCATTGCACATCAACAATGGCCCTGTGACCAGCTAAAGCAAGCAGCGCTGTGGCAATGAACTTCTACACTGTTCATCTGAACCTTTTTTCCCCACTGTCATGCATGAAAGAAACTGATGGAAGCTGGGATTTCAGGTGGGGACAGTGCTGAACTGCCATCTCCCACACTAACACCACAGCTCAGGGATCAACAAATGATTTCTTAAAGGACCAGATGGTAAATATTTTATGTGCTATGGTCACATGGTCTTTGCCATTGTGGCCCAAAGCAGCCCTAGACAATATATAAATAAAAGGGTGTGGCCACGTTCCAATAACACTTTTCTTTCATATATAGGTGGCAGGTATCATCAACCTCTTCACTGGCTGACAGGACTTCATAGACTCCTTGTGCCAACTTTTCATCTCAACAATATAACAGTGGATGCACTGGCATGAAAAGGCTGACTGTCCTGACCATTCTCTTGACCCTCTTATGTGCTCGCTGCCCTACTCTACCTGGGAAGTTCTATTAGTGGGCTCTACCACTCTGGTTCCTGGCAGGCTGATCAGATGGGAGACACAGAAAGGAAACTGGAGAGCAGAAGGAAAGGGAGCTTATCATGCCAATCACCCCAAGTTCCCTTCTGCCAGGCTGCAAGTAGGCACACAGCTCCTGTAAGATGACTTCCCTATAGCTCTGGTTCTAGTAACTTCTCCCTTCCCTGGCTTTTCCAAGTCTAGTATTAGGAACTGTCGCACCCTGCCGGAGCTCAGGGTGGTCCCCCCACCTCCCGTTGCTTTCTACTAACCTTGTTTACCCTCAAGGGTCCCTTCATTAACTTCCCTCACTTAACCTATACACACGTGCCATGTATTTCCTGCAAGGAACCTGACCCATACACCACCCGACCAATGTTTCCAATGGGAAACAAGTCATCAATGTCTCCCTAGCATTCCTGAAGAGCCATCTGCAACTCCTTCCCATCTACTGCCTCCCCAGGGATAGCAAAAGTGAAGGGTGAGTGACAGACAAGGAAATATACAGAACCCTTAGGTCACTCTTGGCTAAAAACATATGTCACTTGCTAACTTGATGCCCTTAGGTTAGTCACTTGACCTGTATTCTTTTAACTGCCTCGTTTATAAGGTTAGGATTAAAATAGTAGCTACATTACTAATGGGGCCATTATGATGATTAAGTGGGTTAATACACATAAAGCTTAGGAAAGTATCTTACTTATGTTAAGGGCTCAATAAGTGCTTACTATAACCCAATCATCCACGTCAACTCTATTTCTAGTCCATTTTCACTAATACTGTCTTCACAGGGCTTCAATATTTCTCTCCTCGATGACCATAGTGACCTCCTAACTACACTCGCTAATTCTCTTACCTTTCCTGCCCAAGTCATACAACATGATACAGCTGAAGTATGCTACTATGGGATACAAGGCAAATCTGTGGGAAAGATTCAAAGAAATTCCATGAGATTAAACGTAATGAACCTTTTAGGAATCTTACAAATCCTTATAAGATTCTATTATTCTTATGAAAAGGTTACATTTTTCTATCCATACAGCTTATCTTAAGTAAACCTAGACACACACGGGTAAGTCTGAGAGGGGAAGTGGGACCATTGCTGAAGGAAAACCAGCTCACTAAGAGTTTAGTCTATTCAATGCAGATACCCTTAAGAGAATAAATAAAGCACTGGGTTTTCAAGGATTTTCCTGAATGGATTATACAAAGGGAAACCCATAAAACCTGGAATTACTTTTTGGAGCATGGGCCCCTTGTAGCGTAGGCTTCCCCCGCTAGGTAAGTGTTCTAGGAACCCATTGGCATCAGTGTACCAGCTAGCATTGTGAGAAGCTGTATTTGGCTTCAGTGAATTGTTTTTGGAGATTCTTTCAACACATTTGCCCATTTCACAGTGGGGATTTACCAGTGTACTTGCCCACACCACACTGAGTGTTCAGCAGTTTTCAACCAAAAAAACAGCATGACCCCGGTGCCACCCTCTCTATTCACTCAATCTCATCCATAGCGATTTTTTTTTTGTCTCCTTGGGTGAAAACGTTCTCAAAGGGAAATGTTTTGCTGATGTGGAAGAGGTGAAACAAAAAACAACAGAATCTAAAAAGAATCAAAATTGACGAGTTCAAAAACTTTTGGGGGCAAGATATCTGCAGTTTAAACACAAAAGAATATACAATTTTTTATAAATAAATTCTGAGTTTTTTTGGGTCCCCCTTGTATCAGCAATCCATACAACCAAATAATGGGAAGCAGAGGGTTTCTAGATCTCAAATACACGATGTAAAACTTCACTACAAAGCAACACCACCTAAACCAAATTAGCCAAATATTAGAAAACAAAAGTGGCCTCTTACATCAAGTCACTGAGTGTATTAAAAATCTTAATCGAGTTTTTCATAAGAGAAATCTCACTATGGGCTTATTCTTGTTTCATGTACAATTCTAAAATGCTTAGTTATACTGGGCTTTCATATTCGATATCAGATTAAAGGGAATAAAATTTTAATGAAGCAATTGAAAAAAAAAGGAAAGGGAGAATTAAGGAGGCAACAGGCAGAGTAGCAGAAGGCTCATGGAACAGATCTTAATTGTAATTCTTACCTATTCTCAAACATAATTATCTGCAAGGATATAACGTTTCTAAATACTGTGAAGGGTGGATCTGTTGTTTACAACTGTTGAGAATAAACTTACCACAACAGATTTTCTCTGGAAGTTTATGTTGTTGATGCAGACGACCTGATGGGTTGTATATTAAAAAAATACAAAAATAAAGTAAGAAAAAAATAATTTATATTACTAAATAAAAGCATAATTCTATCCAAGTGTAAATAAGAACTAATTTTTTTTTTTTCCTTGAGTCAGGAGTCTCACTCTGATGCCCAGGCTGGAGTGCAGTAACACGATCACGGTTCTCCGCAGCCTCCACCTCCTGGACTCAGGCAATTCTCCCACCTCAGCCTCCCGAGTAGCTGGAATTACTGGTGCCTGCCGAGACCGGTTAAATTTTTTTGGTAAAGACAGGGTCTTGCTATGTTGCCCAAGCTAGTCTCAAATTCCTGTCTGCAAGTGATCCTCCGGTCTGGACCTACCTACCAAAGTGCAGGAATTAGAGGTGAGCCCCCCCGCACCGAACAAGGACCAAGTTCTAAGTGGCTCAAAATCACACGTAAATCTTTCATTTAAAAACCCTACAACTGGGATAATTTGCTTGTTTTAAAAGTAGCAACAGTCACGAAAACAGATTTCTCTTTCCAGAAATACAACTGACTGCTTTTAAACAAAGCTTTATTCACCCGCCCGGAGACTCCCGCGCGCCGGGCAACACTGGAATCCAGAACGTGTCCAGCTCGGCCAGTCAGCCCGACTTTCCCCACCGTAATCCCCCGTCCCCCGGGACTTTCCGGGCCCACCAGGTAGCTCCAAGCAACCAAAAAAACACAAGTCACGGCAGGAGAGCCAGAGAGGATCAGGGAGATGGAAAGATACTTATAATTTATACGGCCGCGGGCTCTCAAACCCCTTGTCTCCCTTCTTCCTGTTCATCCTGGCGAGCTCCAGGCCGGCCGGCGGCATGGGCGGCCCGGGGTCCCGGGGCTGGGCCTGGGGGAAGGCCCCCCACGCCCCACTCCCGCGGCCCGGCTCCTACACGCCGCCTCCGGCGAGCCTGTCACACAGACGCCCCTCTCGGCAACCGCGCGATGCCACCGCCGGCAGACACCTTCCGGTCACCTCTGACCCCCGACGTAAACGGAAACGGGGCGGGCGAGAGCGCAGGACGAGGAAGTCAGCGTCAGTAGGCGGGGCCTGCGCGCGGGGAGCGGGACCAGCAAATATACACCCGCCGGTGGAGCCTGCGTCTGATGCCGAGGACCCTGGACTCGCTTTGCCGTGCGCTCGGTGGGGGTAAATGTTCAAATTAACGTGGCGAAAATGTTTTGTGGGCGAGGCACAGAGCAGGCAGGAGAAGGGGGCGCATCACGTTAGACTAAGGGTCTAGTACACAGAGAAGCTTGGAAGAGTTTGTGGAAAGTCAGGTGTAGACCGGCGGGCCGGCGGTGCTGTATAGACATCACACGGCCCGGCCCAATGACCCCAGCTGTGAAACATGTAACTAGAGCAAGGAGGTCTGATTGCCAGCCTCCAGAACCAGAGCCCCACAACTGCTGCTGCGGTTCACAGTAGGGCATGTACCATGTGTGTCACTATCCACACGTGCAGCAATAACAAGACAGAGACATCTGGATGCCAATGAGTTTACTTTTCACGTGCATGAGAATAAAATTTGTAAGCTTCCGTTAACAGTTTATTCTTGGTTAATTATGGATTATCTATCCATTGACATTTTTAAACTGTGGGCCCACCCCCTCCAGCTGTCCTCGTGATAGAGTAAAGTTAGGCTAAGAAGACTTCAGGGCTGCAGTAAAGTTCCCAGCTGTTGCAAAACCACGCATGCAATCAAGCAGCCTAGCTATAGGAAACTTCACACCTACCTACTTGTTAGTCTCTTACCAGAAAAGTACTTACAGCATCGTAGTTCATTCATCCAGGATGCTTGCTGTCAAGAGCCAACCACCAAGGCAGGGACTAATTCAGAGACCGCTGGAGCATGTGCATCAATAGCTAAGGTTGACCTAAGATATCCAAGACTGACTTTTTTACCTTCACTGCAATACTATTAATGTAACATTACTCTAGGGAAACCTCCCACTCCCATCGTACATCTGATGCCATGACAGTATAGGGCCTGAAACTCCCCAGCCCGAAGTGAGGGAGGAGTAACAGAGACCCAGCCCTAGGACCACCCATTTCTAGGAAAAGCCTACCCCAAAACCCACTCCTCAACACCCCTAAGAATAAAAGTTATAGCTCAACAAAAGTTGGGTGCTGAAGCAGCAACTTTCCATGGGCTGTTTGTGCCTGTCCCCCTTCCTTGGGTGTATACTCTTCTTTGCCCAACAAAGACACTTGCTTATCTCACTCCTGTCTGAATTCATTCCAAACCTGAACACAAGAGCCTATCACTGACCATCTCATGCTGGGAACAGCACCCCTTCTCCCAGTAACACAAGTATTGAGTTCACTAGTCAAGGTAAAATTAATTTGAACTTTGATCTAAACTGAAACAAATTAGAAAAATAAAGCTACAAAGGAATATAATCAAGCATTCCAAAACCAAGTAGAAAGTACTTAAAAGTTGTCTAGTGAGCATGACTTGTACCAGTATTCTTCACTATAGGATTATAAACTGCTTTATCAGTATTCTTCACATAGGATGGAGGACCAAACCTATTTTTTCCCAAAGTGCATGTCTACACCAACCAAGTAAATAGAGGAGTGATTGTCAAGCCAATTTCATCAATGTAAACAACTAATATAAATATGTTGTAGCACCTAGTGACTTCCTGCTTTGGTGGAAGGCTGAAAGTAGAGGGAAACTCACTTGAGAAATAGCATTTAAGTGAATAACTAATTCTCTTCTATGAAGCAATTACTATTTAATTATCTGAAAAACTTTAAAAATGTCTTGATGATTAGGACTTTAAATCCTTATTAATGACATTTTAAATTTGAAATGAAAAACTTTTTTCTATAAATAAAAACCATGCAGGCCTCAAATACTAAATACAGGTAATAATTCTTTTGTCCTTGTTTATTTATACCATGTACATAGTACAAATTTAACTTGAAAGATATAGGAATAAATTATTACATTAAAAAACAGCAATTTTTAAATGATTAAGATGAGGAGAAAAATGCCTCAGAAGACTAGGATTTTGTAACCATGCATGGCAGCGCAAACCTGTAGTCTCAGCTACTCAGAAGGCTGAAGCAGAAGGATCTCCTAAGATCAGGAGATAGAGACTATAGTAAGCTGTGATTGTGTCACTGCACTACAGCCTGGGCAAAAGAGTGAGAACTCAACTCAAAAAAAAAAAGACGGTTTCTGGGCCAGGAGCAGTGTCTCATGTCTGTAATCTCAATGCTTTGAGAGGCTAAGGTGGGAAGATTGCTTGTGGTGAGTTCAAGACCACCCAGAGTAACACAGCGAGAGCCCCCATCTCAAGAGGCTGAAGTGGGAGGATCACCTGAGCCCAGGAGTTCCAGGCTGTAGTGAGCTGTGATCATACCAATGAACTCTAACCTGGGAGACAAAGTGAGACCTGTATCCTTAAAAAAAAGAAGAAAAGTTAGGTTTTAAAAAGAAGTCATAAGATCTTTTTCTTATATCCAGCCACTTTATAAACCAACTTTAGTCCCAAAGAAAAGATTGTTCTTTTAAGAAACAGGTCTTCTTGAATTATAAACTTTAACACCATTTTGCATTGAAGAACGCGAATACTTAGTGAGTAATGCACCTATGGTTTGCTTCTCTTCACACAAATCTCTGTGGGAACAATAAAAAAAAATGAATTTTTTAGGAAACATAATATGATATTGACAATACTATGTATTTAATTTATCTCTCTCTCCTGAAATCCAACAACCATCAATGTGGGTGTCTGTAGAGAGAGGGTAGGGAGTGGTCCTAAGTTTTCAGTGAAGTAGGTACATTACAGGTATCTCATTTCACCCTCATAGTAAGAGTAGGAGCCATGTGTTATTTAACCCCATGTTGGAAACAAGGAAACTGAGGCTCAGACAGGTGGTAACTGACAGTCAAATTCTGCAGGTTTGTGTGACTTCACTTCCACTGCATCACACGGCCTCTGAAGTAGAGCACAGACAACGTGACACAGTGGGGTTGGGGTCTGAAAACCGACACCAGGCCCAGCATGAACCTGTCCAGGTGACCATCCCTCCCTGAGCTCCAGCTGCCTCTTTTGCACTTCACAGGGGAGAAGACTGGAACTGGAACATGAAAAAGAGAGGAAAGAGCAGGAGGACAGAGCTGGAGAAGGGAGCAAGGGCTCACCCACACAGGATCTTGAAGAACATGGAAAACCAGGTGTACTTCAAGTCTAACTGTAATGAAAAGTCACAAGGAGGGTCTTAATGCATGAAAAGCACAACGTGACTTAAGTGTTAAACCATGGAGGCAATAAGTTGACTGTTATGGGGGGTGGATGGTAGGTGTATAGAGGGCTCATTATACTGTCACTTCTGAATGTTTAACAGTATAAAAAGAGGAGAGGGGGCAAAAACAGAAGCAAGGAGACTAACTGGATCAGGTGCCAGAATGTGCTCACAGCATGAACCAGTTGGGGAGAGAAGAAGAGGACAGAGTAACCCCTGGGTGTTGCTTGCACAGCTGGGTTAGTGGCGGTGCCATTACCTGAGATGAAGAAGTAGGGGTAAGGATGAGGGAGAACCAACAGCTTTGTCATGAACAAGTTAGGTATGAAATTCCTACAAGATACCCAGTGGAAAAGGGAATTCAACAACTAGATATCAGGATCTGGAGCTTGGGGAAATGGTCACTTATAAAGATAAAATTAGGAAGTCATAAACTTGTATCCAGGCCTGGATGAGGACACCAAGGGAAAAGTACAAACAGAAGCGAACACAGCCCAAAACAGAGTCCTGGAAACTCCATTATTTAAAGACTGAGAAGAACACATGACATCAGCAAAAAACAGAAGAGCGGCCCTGGGGGCAGGAGAAAACCAGCACGTTTCTCACAGGACAGCATGGTCCACTGGGTCAAATTGTGCCAAGGGGACAAGCACACAAGGCCCAACAACTGCCACTGGGTGTAGAAAGACAATGTCACTGGGCAGCGGAAAGGTAGGAGGTAAGCACGCAGACAGTGCGTAGAGACTTTTCAGCAGAGCCTTCCTGAGGAGGGGAGCCAAGGACGTGGGTCTGAAGTCAAGACTGCTGTTTTCCAAGATGGCAACTTGACAGAATATCACATGTGGATCGGGGAGATCCAGAAAAAGGAGACGTCAGAATATAAGATGAAGGGGTCACTAGAGGACCCACATCAGAGGGAATGGACCTAGTACAGGGGGAGGACCAGCTGTGGGCAGGGATAGTCTTGCCGCACAGAGGGACTACATGAAGGGAGGTGCACTTGGGAAGAGGATGCGGACCAAGCTGTGGGAAGAAAGTGGGTTTCTGCCTCACTACTTCTATATACTCAAAAATTAAGGCCTTAGAAGGAAGTAGAGTACTACTGGTCTAAGAAAGCAAAGACGTAAAGGAAGTCCTGAAATGGAGCAGTTTCCTAAGGAAACAGTGCCTGGCCAGACCACATAAGTACTACTTAGGCTCGCAAGTGAGACAGCTTAGGAACTACTGTGTTTTCTTCTCTAGAAAACTTCAGCTGCCCAGGTGAAAAGCCAAAGGAGTAAAGTGTAGACAGCAGGAGTTAAGAGAGGCTGACCATGGAATCCAAGATGAGTCAAGAGAAGAGAAAGGATCTGGAGGTGACACAGTGACAAGCTGCAGTGTTTGTGGATTTCCAGTGTCTGTGACCTTGAAATCCTGTCTGCAGCGACTTCAGGGCTAACCTGTCTTGCAACCTGGCCATGATTACAATGGTGAAGTAAGGCAGCAGAGAGGTCAGTACCTGGCAATCAGAGAAGGTGCTTGCCTTGGGTTCACAGTGGGATTATGTTCTGTCCCTCGCAGGAGACTGTTTTGTGAGAAGTGGCTTTAGAGGCAGTAAGGAGCAAAGATGGCATCCCACCTCCAGGATCGGTCTCATGGAGACAACAGAGCAGTAAGTCTCTCCCCAGAATGTTTGAGGGAAGTAGCATCCTCAGGGAATACTCAAGAAAACTGCATCTTAATGATAAATCCAAAACCCCATACCATGCTATAAAAGGGCAACCCTGAAAATCCATCTCTAGTAAATTACTTACTGAATATATGGAGCGATGTCCTCCTCTGTCCACTTCTCCCTTAGCGAGAACAGACTATTAAAACGTTCCTGAGTGTCTTCAGGTAGGTCATCTACTTTCAGCAAAAAGATTATTTCTGGTCTTGAGTTTCTATCTACCAGTGCCAAACCCTACATGAAATGATAAGAAAAAGTAAAAAACAAGGTGACATTTACACATGACTCATCCTTTTACCTTTAGGTTCAGCTTAGCCCAAGGCATTTAAAATGTCAGCTACACAAAACTTACACAAACTCTCTAGAGCCATAGATTTATAATAGACTGTTTCATAAATAGAATTCCTGCAAGCATGAATTCCCTTCTACAATCTGGCTTCTACCACCACCAGCTGGTCAAGATTGTGCTGGCTTTAGAAGTCACCAATGACCTATCACTGCCAAATCCAGTGGGCTCCTTTCTTGGACTCGCTGACTAGCCCTCTGACTTTTTTTTCTAATGCTGGTTACTCCTTCTGTAAAGTTCCCTCCATCGCTGGCATTACTACCTCCTTGCTTTCCTAACCTGATGCCATAGCTCCCTGGGGCTTCTCGTACAACCCCTCAACTTGTTTCACTATCCCTCTACTGAGTCACCTCATCTAAACCTGTGGCCTCAGCCAACATATACACCTCAGGAGTATACATCTCAGGCTGTTTGTATCTCAGCTCAGATTTCTCTTTTGGGCCCCCAGACCTTTAACCAAATCTGTACAGGAACACCTTGTTTACCAACCAAAATGGCTCAAGTCCCAAGAAAACCTAGATGTCACCTAGATCCCATTAGTCAGTCTCACACCTAATGGTCCCTAGAGCCTGCAAATGCTAAGTCTCAATTTCTCTCCATTGTCCTCATCCTGTTTCTCTCTTAGTCAGAGAGTAAGTGTTGACAGCCTACTCAGCTCTCCTCCTCCATCATGTGGCCAATATTCTATCCTTCCTCTTGACTGTCAAGAGCATTCTTTTCTAAAGGCAAAACCAATGAGTACCTGATGAGTTAGGTCTTCTAGCGGATGTTGCTCAGTGGCTCTGAAGAGCTTTCTGGATGAATGAAATTCCTCGGCACAAGCCGCAGTCCCTAGCTACCTCCCAGTGTCTCCTGCTCCAGTCATGGTTCCCTAGCAGTGCATAGTGCTTACACACTCTGAGTTCCTTTCCCTGTCCTTCCCACCACCTGGAGAGCAATAATCATCTTCACACTCATCAGCTAAACAGCCATGCCTTCAGGAAACCCTCCCTAACTGACCATCTGGTGGCCACACCCCTTTTCTTTGCTCTCGTAACACCCTGTGCCTGCCTTTCCCACACACAGATGGCTCTACACTGTAAGAACAGGTTTACACACATCATGTGCAACCCCCATTGCCAGTCCCCAGGCCTGGTCTGAGCACCTCAATGGCACATCATGTAATGTTTTCTCCCCAGCACCCAGCATAGTGCCTCAAACTAAAAGGAACTCTATAAGCATGGAGCAAACGCTTTCCTTTATCTAACAAATATACATTGAGCACACACCACATGCAAAGGAGTGTACTCATACTGGCAAGCAAAATGCTCTCAAAGCAGAGAGTAGGGTACCAAGTAATCAAACATTTCCAAAGCTCAGAGGCAGGTGCCACACAGAAAGAGCAAAACTGAGGTGTTTTATTAGGGCGGAGAATGGAGGAAGGCCTCCTTGAGGAAGTGACTTAGACAGGAGCAGGAGGTGGCCAGTGCAGTTAGGGAGAACATCATTCTAATACAAGCAGCTCTGTGTGAAGGTCCCAAGGCAGAGAGCCTGATGATCTTGAAGACCTGATAGAAGGCTGGATGTGGTACGCAGGAGAGATAGTGACCAGAGATGAAGCCACGAGGTGACCAGAAGGGCCTTGTAGGCAAAGATATGAATTTGGGATTTTATCTCCTAGGTGCAATAGGCAACCATTAAGGTGACTTAGGCAGGACATCCATCTAAAAGTATAGGCTTGCTCAGGGTGCTATGCTGCTGATATCCACCTACAAGTACAGGCCTGCACAGGGTAATATTCTGAAGAAACCCATCTGAAAGTGCAGGTCTGCTTAGGACATTATGCTGCTGACATCCCTCTGAAGGTGCGGGCCCGCTCAGGGTGCTATTGCTACTGGAGAGGCAGGAGATCGTGGTAGTGTGGATCCGGAGAGTGGGGATGAAAATGGAGAGAAATGGAACAAAATGAAACACATTGGGTGGGAACATGGATTGAGTGTTAATGGACCGAAGGGATCTTACTGAGGCCATGGGTGTAGCAATCATCACTTAGTGAATTTACTAAAAATCTTTTGTATGATGAAATTTTACGATGTGTAAATTATAGCTCAATAAAGCACTGGACTTTTTTTTTTTAAAGCTCTTTGTGATGGACTAAATACAGTGCACCTCTAATAGGTACCTAGGGATATAAACTGGCTCCAAATTCAGTGCCAATCCAAGTATCCCTCACCTAGTAACCGACCACCGATTGAATTAAAACAGTAGCCCCTGATGCCATTACCTTGAGCTGATCAAGCCTGGTTGTCATTCCTTCAGGAACACTCTGTTGCCACACTTCCTGAAACTCAGCAAGATTGAATTTCACCGCATTCTGAAGTAGCATTTGTGCTATTGCTCGGCATATTTTATCAGCATCCAATTCAAAATAAACTTCACCTAAGGAAAAGGTATAAGACGGTTTCATATTATCCCCTTACAATTAAGTTCAGTACTAACATTTCCTTTTCCTGAATGCAATTTCTTGGAAGGAATTATCACCTTGACACACTTCCCACAACCCTGAGTTCTTATTTTTAACACCAACGCACTTCAGAAAAGTATGCCAATTTTAACACATAGAATTAAAATACTTATTAGAATACTTTCCAATCTTACCTTCATCTACATATTTCTTCCCGTAACATTTAAGACAATGCTCTATCATTTCCCTGAAAAATTCAAAACACCATTTGAAAGGTTATCAATATTTTTATGCACTACATTTTAAACCCTACTGCTAACTAAAAAATAAGATATAAATTTGAGATTTGAAATACTAAGTGATTTTGGTTACCACATAATACGTTTAAATTAACTAACTAAAATATGCTGTGAAGCTACCATATACCAAGCTCCATGCTACATTCATTTACTTAGTATAAAATAGCTCAATGATTGATTTACATTTTATGGCAAAAAAAAAAAAAAAAGAGAGACAGATAATACACATTTATTCACCCCAGTAACCAAAGCTCCCAAATCTTCTCTAAGATACTACAATATAATTATTGTAGTCTATGCACTGGGTCTAGCTCCCATCTGGAAAAGAATTTCCTTCTCCTTAAGAAAATCTGAATGGACAAACAATTAAGGTACTTACTCAGGCTCCAATGGTCCAAGTTCCTGGAGGCATGTATTCAAAGGAATTCTACTAAAAGACCATGATTCGGAATCCACAAGCTGAGTTATATGATTCAGAAGTTTCATCTCATAGTCAAATTCAAGAGTCCTCCAATAACCTAAAAATTCCAAGAGCTCTATTTACCAGAGAACATTGTAAGTAAATTAGCTAGTAGACTGACAAAGTAGCAACATGCTCTGGCCCACTGCAAAAGAGACACTCAGGTCTTCATTATCTTTAAATAGTGCTTCTTTTTAAGCCTTTCTCACAATCACTTTAAACTATGTCTTCAGGGAGATCAAGTGTTTTTTTAACCTCTCTGAGAGACAGTGCCTTGTAAATCTAGCAAACCATTCGGATGTCCTCTCTTGGGACATAAAGAGATTGCTGGTTATTACACAGGACAAACTTATGACAGTGCAAATTTTTCAAAATGTTGTTTCCTTGAAATTTTCCATTCAAACACAATGAAAATCTATTTGAAAATCCCATTTGAAATCTGTCAAGATTCTGAACAATCAGTTGAGAAGCTGTTTTCAGGAATCACAAGTGCTTCCCTCCACATTGTCTTTGAACAAGACTTGACAATAAATTACATATTATTAATATTAATGTGGGAGGAAGAAAACAAGACTGCATTATCTTTTTGAATTGAAATACACCAGGTGAAAGATGTTTTTCTCCTTCACCCTCACACCCCAACACACACTCCCATACCATCTATCCAGGTTTATTACATGAACATATGTTCACAAATATTTCCAGAGCTATCACAAGAAACAGCCCCATCTTCCAAGTCATTTGAAAATACAATGAGGTTATTAAACTTATTCTGAATGAAAAGTTCAAAGACCTGGATTCTGTTCTGTATGCCAACACTAACTAACACGTACCCTGAAATCCTGGACAAGCAAGTTCCCGTTCCTAGGTCTTGTTCCCTTACTAAGGAAGCTATCAGATTAGACTGCCAATATTTACGAACCTTTCTTAATCTAATATAGTTCTATTACCATTTAGTTCAAAGAAAAAGGCCTGTAAGGCATTGTTAACATCACCTAGTTGCAGACTGATCTTATGAATAGATGATCACAGTCATCTCTATCCCATGCTCAAGAAGACACATTTTACCATCTTTGACCCATTGTTAAATAAACTGTAAGCAATAGAGTGGAGATGTCCAAAAGCCTCTCTCTCAGATGATGTCCAATTCCATCATTAATAATAATCATAAGTTACGCTACCTTCAATTTCACAGGCATTTAGAACTTGTAATTGGGCCATTATTTCTTGCTCACTTGCCTGAATTTGATTAAGCAAATCTTCAGTTGTATACTGAAACAAGAAAAAAAATATATTTTAAGGCCTCTAAAGTTTTTTGGGGTTTGTTAAATTTGGGGGATACATAGAACAGATTAAAGCAATTATTTACGCACTAGCTCAGTTTATTTTGTAAATGTATAATGACTACTACACAAAATCAGTGGACATCTTAGAAAAAACAAAGGTAAATCTTCATGATGTTGGATTTGTTCATGAATATGATCCCAAAAACATAAGCAACAAAAGAAAAAACATCAATCAAACAGCAAAATGATAAGCTTTTGTACTTCAGAACACTGTCAACACAAAGGATAAATATTGTATGATTCCACTTATATGTGGTATTTAGAACAGTCAAATTTGTAGAGATAGTAGAATGGTGGTTGTCAGGGGCTGGAGAAGGGAGATGGAGAGGTATTGCTTATTGGGCAGAGAGTTTCAGTTCAGGATGATGGGAAAATTCTAGAGATGGAGGGTGTGGTGGCTGCACACTACTATGAATGCACTTAATGCCACTAAACTGTATCCTTAAAAAAGGTAAATTTAATGTTATATTTTACCACAATAAAAAAAAGCTCAAAAGTGAAAAGACAACACATAAAATGGGAAAATAAGTATTTGCAAATCATATATCCAATAAGGGACTTGTATCTAAACTACACAAACTTTCTTATAGTTTCATAATAAAAAGACAAATTAAAAATCAGGCAAAGAAATTGAATAGGCATTTCTCTAAAGATATACAAATTCAAAAAGATGTTCAACATCATTAATCATCAGGGAAATGCATTTCAAAACCACAAGATACCACTTGAAATTCACTAGGATGGGTATCAAAAAGATAATAACAAGCATTGTCAAGGATGTAGGGGAATGAATATACCCACTCTGGGACATAATATGGCAGTTCCACAAAAGGTTACACATAGTCACTACACAACCCATCAAGTCTACTCCTAGGTACAGACCCAAGAGAAATGAAAACATAGACCCATATAAAAACTTGTACATGAATGATCACGGCAGCATATTCTTCACAGCCACAATGTGGAAACTACCCAAATTTCTACCAACTAATAAACAATATGTGGCATATCCATAAAATGGGATATTCAGCAATAAAAATAAATAAAATACTGATACATGCTCTAACATAGATAAATCTTGAAAAGATGATGCTAAGTGAAAAAAACCAATCATATTACGTGATTCCATTCATATGAAGCATCCAGATTAGGCAAATCCATAGCCAGGAGAGTTGATTAGTTGTTGTCTAAGGCTGAGGGGACAGATGAGAGAAGGTGGAACTGGAAGTAGCTTAAGGCTATATGGCTTCTTTTTGGGGTGAGAACAGTGTTCTCAACTTGATGGTGATGATGGCTGCATAACTCTGTTAATGTACTAAAAAGCACTGCACACTTCAAAATGGATGAATTGCTTGGTTTGAGAATTGTTTCAATAAAGATGTTACACAAAAATATTTTTTAAAAGAGGCCAGGAGTTTGAGACTAGTGAAAGCCCGCCTCAAAAAAAGAAAAAAAGAACTCAATTAGTGGAGAAAAAAGAAATTCTAATCCAAATATGGTCTTAGGGACAACAGTAGAGTTCTATAATTTTAAAGTACATTAAACTTTTTTTAACTTGTTTTATAAATATTCTTCCATACTTCCAGCGATTTGTTAATTTTTAATTAGAGTCAAAATAATTTCCATTTTCATAGTGTCTTAATTCAAGAGCATCTAAATATTTTTAATTAAATGAAAATTAATTTTACCTCCCAAAATCTATTATTTCTAAGTTAAGAACATGAGAAGAGCTCAACTGCATAAATGGTTCCATAATACACATAATCTGCTCTGAAATACTCTAGAAAAATAAAAAAATGGTGGAAGGATAGAATGGGGATAGAAGAAACAAGACTGACAAAAGATTAGTAATTGTTCAAGTGAATGATAACTATATTGGGGTTGTATTACTATTCTCTGTGCTTTTGGGTATGTTTGACATTTTCATAATATAAACTTTAAAAAGGAAGAATGTCACCATTAAGTGCCTCTAATTATAGTTTTACTTTTTTCATTTCCAAATGAAAAAATAAAAATAAAAATCTTACTTTGGAATAATTTGAATCTTTCTCTTTTTGACTGTCAGGTCCTTCATAGGTATTTTCCATCAAAAGTTTCTTTAGCTTCTTTAATTTAGGTCTACATCTTCTTAATTCCCAGTAATTATTAGAAAAACCAAAGATCTAGAAATTGTAAAACATCATAACCTTTTAGAAGCCATTCTAAAAGAAAATGCCATGCAAAATTCCAATTAGCCATTTACCCTCAACAAGTACCAAGAAAAAGAAGCCAGGTATTCTGCTTTCTGCTGGAAAGGTGCCCACCAACCACCTCCCAAGGATGGATGACATCTTCAGGAAAAGTCTAGTTAGGTCCCAATTAATAAGACACTTTTCAGCATAGTGGAAACTAATAATTGAATATCACATCTCAAATACACTCTGTAAACTAGAGCATGCACACACACAAAAAATGACCAGGATGGTGGCAATTCTGCAGACCAGGTGCAAATAACCAAAAATGATAACACTCAAGCTGAAAAACAGAAAATGCATAAGAGGTACTGTTATAGTCTTCAATAATGAAAGGATGTTAAAGAGAACAGGGAACCTTGCTGTGTTGCTCATGTTGTCAAAATTAAGCAGAAGTTAGGGGAGAGAGACTTCTGTTCAATGCAAGAACTTTCTATTGAGAACTGCAGCCAAACTCCACTGTTGCACTTGTGAAATCATAAGTGGCCTAGCCCTTGAACTCCAGCTGATAGAGGCTAGCGGATGGATGGGTATCTGCTGCCTCTCTGTATCTCCAGGACTTGCTCAGTGCCTTGTACTTAGTAGCTGCCCAAAGGTGTCGCAGAAAAAAAAAAAGGTGATTGGAATTATCTCTGGGTGTCTTCTTACTTTCAAACTAGAACAAAGTTTCACTGACAAGATGAGGCTTGGTCTGAAGGAAATGCTGATTCTGAGGCCTTCACAGGAAGAACTTAGGGGACAAAAGCAGGGAAACGGATTTAACCCACAGTGCAAAGCAGAAAACTTCCAGCTACACCAATGCACAAATACTGGCATATGCCTTTGCACTAGGGGAAAGGAGAGGTTTTATATGTTTTTAAAAATAGTTCCTGGCATAAAAAAACTAGATTTTAGCTCCAAAAATCTAAATCTCAAGTTTTACTTGGAAAAAATAAATCAGAAGGTCTAGTGATGTCAGGCCAATTTCCCCCACAGCAACTGAGCAGCCACCCACAAAACCCCAGCCTGCTCTACACACATGCAGGCCAGGTCCAGCCCTGAGGCATCTGAGCACAACCACAGATTCTGACTTTGGTTAGTGGATCTTTAAGTTTTACCCCATCTCAGCACACAGAATTCCCAAACAAACATGAGCTTGAAGGTTTTCATAGTTGTTATTATACCCTCACAGAAACACCTACAGATAAAAAGTAACATTATTATTTTTTTTTTTTACAAAGGGATGAGCTGCCAACATTTCTAGTTAATTACAATGAAAGACTTAATGATACCACAACCACTAAACTACATTTCCGGGAAGTTCTTCTGTTCTCGTAACATCACGTGAATCACCAAAGCTTCTCTACATTTTCCCTTTTTTCCCTTCCAGTCCTATTTTTGAGAACAGATCTGGCCTGAAGGCATTCTGAAATAAGGGCTGTGCTTGATTGCTATATGTGTAACCCAGAAAGGATGGAGATTTTTTGCTTGGTAACTGTCATCAATATTCTCCAAAATACATCTAAAATGTTGTATACTTGGCAGATGTTTATGAACACTAAACCAACTTCAAAGCTAAGAAACACACTTCCTTCAAAAACTCAAAATCCTTCATTTCTCTACTTTGTAAACATTACCAAATAAACTAGTTGTGGTTTGAGGGAGTTTCCTTTCAAAACACATCCCCAGCAAAATTTACTGAAAATAGGTAGAACTTTTAGAATGAGTCACAGAATGGCAAACTTTCCACATTACAGGAAATGATTTGTCTGGGACTTGAAAATTAAAATAGGAAAATAGACAAGTTCACAAGACTCCAAGCAAACAAGCAAAAACAAGGTTGAGAAATTCCAATTTCATTAAACAACTTCCTAGTTTCCCTTTGATTATACATCTTATACCTAAAGTGTTTAACTAAAAGCATGATTAGCACCGTGTTTTACTTCTCACACTTATATGAATCAAGACAGAGCACCTCGGCATGGATCATGTCACAGAGTGTGTCTTCCTCCTTCAGCTGCTCTGGAGTCTTGCAACCAGGAATAAAAAGCAACATATTTGAAGTATCTGCTATCTTCAGGTCATATGTTCTGTCTTCACTGCATAGCACGGCTTGCTCATCTTTATCACCACGAATCACAAAACTGCAGGAAAATGGAAGAAAAAGGTCTGGTTTGTTGAGACTGCAACAGACATCATCATACACAGGTCCAAAATCCTCTAGGCTCACAGAACTTAAGTCTCAGTGCTGGGTCTGGCCCTTGTGGAGCAAGCGCCAGGTCTTAGGAGGTCCACCCAGACACTAGGAACCTCACAAGGGAAAAATCAATACACATGCACAAGACAGATCCAAAGAGACCAAGAGGCCCAATGTCACCACATGGTATCTTCACACAAACTTCTAAGAAGAGCACATGACAAAACACCTAGAAGCCTCAGTCAAGATGTCATGATTTTCTAATACGTGCTAAAGTGGCAAGTCTCAAATTGACACACAGGCATCTTAGGGAATTTTGTACAAAGCAGCTTGGGATTCAGTAGGTCTGGGACAGGATTCTGCACTTCTAACAAGTTCTCCAAAGACAGCTGTGGCTCTGCTCCTGGACCTCCACAAATGTCACCCTTCCTCTTTTGTTCTGAGTAGCCTCTCATAATCAAAGAACACATCCTAACCTAACCAGCTGCTGAATTGCAAATGAGACTTTAGGAATAAAAGGATACAATGCCAAACCAAAAAAAAAAAAAAAACTCAAAGGGAGTTCATTACAGCTGAAGGAAATCAAGAAGAGGGGAGGAATGAAGATGAGGAGGAGGAAGAGAAAAGACTAAAAACAAAGATAGTGGAGTTGACAAGGAGTTGGTTCTAGTTGTAACCCTCCGTACAACTTGTTTCTTTGAAATAAATGAAAAACCCAAGGCCAGACTTGGTGGCTTATCCTGTAATCTCCACTCTGGGAGGCCAAGTTGAGTGGACTGCCTGAGCCCATGGGTTCAAGACCAGCCTGGGCAACTTGGCAAGACTGCATCTCTACAATAAATAAAAAATTAGCCAGGCATGGCAGCACATACCTGTAGTTCCGGCTACTTAGAAGGCTGAGGCAGAAGGATCGCCGGAGCTAGCAGGTCGATGCTGGGGTGGCCGTGAGCGTGCCACTGCATTCTAGCCTGGGCGACAGATTGAGACTCCAACTCAAAAAGAAAAAAAAATAAAAACCTGAAACAGTAAACTGTATCATTATTTTTAATCCAGGCTTTATTTAGATGAAAATAAAAGTTTTTTTAGATTTGCAGTACTAATAATGTTTAATAGGTTGAAGAACCTACTCTTGCAGGCTCATTTCTAACTGCACTAACCCTCTTTGAAGTATTTTGTTCATATCACCCCCTCCCCAACTAAAAATATACTTTTCTAGGTTCTGCTGTTTTTCTGCTACCTAGCACACCTCTCCAATCCTCAGCAGCTCAGCGTGAGATGGAAACAGATGGTAAGGCTCTTCTGCGGTTCCCTAAAGATGCTTTGAAGCTGGTATCTGGAGACTGGTCAGTAAACTATGATAATGTTTGGTCAGTACAGCATGAAAACTGGAAAGCAGCTTAGAGAGTTCAGTTACATGGAATCTGAATGAGAAAAAAATAGCCAGAGTACAGGTGTCAGAGTAAGGACAGTGCTGGATCTCTAACCCTAATTTGCAGGACTGAGATGCACAGAGCGGAGGGACAGATGTTGATTCTCCAGGCTTCTCAAGGTTGCCTTCAAAACCTACCTCACCATTGACTATATTTGTAAATCACTGACCTTGCAGTAAATTTGCAGCTGACCCAGAATAAGAAACAGCTTCAGATCCCAACTGAATGACCCCAAGCAGGGCTGACCAATTAATTACCAAGCCTGTATTCACTACGCACCCCATTGTCTGAGTAAAATAAACATAAATGGAAGGCAGGCAAGGATTCTAAGAATGCATTTAAGATGGGATGTCGGGGTTCTGTGGAGTCTCTGGATTCCAAGTCAACATCCTCACGACTTCACTGAGGTTTTGCCCCTGACCTGTTTGCAGGCACCTGCCTCCAGCGTCAGCTGGCCCAGGCCTATCGATCATCTCGGTGCAGCCTTGCAGGGGCGTGGAAGCCCAAGAGAAGGCAGGTGCTGGGGAATCAGGCCCCTGGCCCTACTTCATCTCACTTCCCCGAGAATCAGCAGGAGCCGGCCCGAGGCTGGGGCGCCGGGGGTCCGATCCATGCCGGACCTAACCTGTGTCACAACCCAACCCCCTGCGACCCCTGCCGGCCTCCCTCGCGTCGTTTCACCCGCTGTCTCCCGAGCCCCACCTCTCCATCTTGCCTCCCCGGAGTCCCACCCCACCGGTGTCCCGCTTCCCCCGCCGCATCACCTTTTCTCTACCACGTGTCCCGCCTCCTCTCAGGCCCGCCAACCCCAGGCCCTATCCCTAGCCTGCCCAGGACCCGAACTCCCCCGGCCCGCCCCAACCCCACGCCCGTCTTTCCCACGTCCGACTCACTGCTGTCTCACCCCGTGCCCGATTCGCACAGGCTAACCTCACCTGTGTCCCTCCTCCAGACGCTGGCACAGGGCAGGTTCCAGCTCTAGTAGGCGCGTGTCGCCGGTGGCCGCGGGCCCGAAGCGCAGGCAGTGCACGGCGGGCTGCAGCTCCGCCGCGTTCAGCCTGGCCGTGCGCAGCGTGGCGTCCACCTCCTCGCGCGTCCTCCACATCCCGGCGCCGTCGGCGTCCCGTCGGAGTCCCGCCGGGGTCAGGGCCTGACAGAGACGCGTTCCCGAGCGCCCGGACCTAGGAACGCGCGCGACACGAACAGCCGGGCCAAAAAGCGCGCCAAAGCGGTCGGCGTTTCTGAGGGGGGCGCTTCCGGCGGGGCGTTTCCGGGGCGCGGTAGACGGCTCGGAGGCTAGGTACTTGCGCGAGCTCCGCGGAAGCTCTAGGGGGCCGCTGCAACCCGTGAGGAGCGACACAAACCCCCCTAGCCGCTCCTTCCGCGGGTCTCCTCCTCGACCCCGGTCGCTACCGCGGGCTTCGTGCAGGCCCCACCCCTTCCTCGTGACTCCTCCCAGTCTCCGTCCCTTCCGTGAGACTCCTCCCCGGCCAAGCCCCGCCTGCAGGTCTCCCGATCAGCCCTTTTCCGCCGGCCTCCGCTCCGGCCCCGCCCTTCCGGTAGGTCTTTCTCTTAGGCTCCACCCCTGCTTCGTGTCCCCTTCCCGGCCCCGCCCCTTTCGCGGGTCTCCTCACCGGCCACGCCTTTTCCGCGGGTCTTCTCCACGCTCACGCCCCTGCCGCTGGTATCCTTCCCAACCTCGATCCTTCCTCGGGTCTACTTCCCGACCACGCCTCTCGCGCGGAGCTGCCCCGTGGTCCCTTCCCTCCTTCGGGTCTTCTTTCCGGCCGGCCCTCCGTCCCTTCCGCTGGTCACGTTCCCGACCCCGCCACCGGGCGGATCTCCTCTCTGGCCCTGCTTTTCGCGGGTCTCCGGCCCTGCCCCCCTCCCCTCCCCCCTCCTCCCTCT